TGTGAATAAAGACTGTTGAATTTCTTCCTTTTCCAATCCTCATAACTTATTTTTCTTGTTTCTCTGTATTGACTAGGATCTCTACCACAATATTCAGTGGTGGTAAGAGACATCTTTATCTGTTTCTTAATCTGCAAGGAAAAACATTTAACATCTTACCATTAAATATGATGCTTTATGTAGTTCTTGCTTTTAAATAATTTTTTTCCTTGCAAATTTTATTTCAGACACGTTGACTACAGCTCTGTGGGAAACCCTGAGGCACAGTACTCAACAAGACATACCTGAACCCCTGATCCACAGAAGCTGTTAGAAAATGTTCTGCTGTAAGCTGCCAAATTTGGGGTTAATTTGTTACACAAGCAATAAAGAGCTAATGCAGAAAGGATGTGTAATCCTCCATCAAAGTCCAACCTAAGTTGAGTGTAGCTTAGCGTAGCAGTAAAGGCATGGGTTTTGAATCAGATATACCAAGAATTCCATTTCTACTATGTATTAATTTAACATTACTCAGCCTCAGTATTCTTACCTGTAAAATAGAGATAATTACACCTATCTCTTAGAGTTGCTGTAATTATATGTGATAGAGTGAAATTTTCTGTATATTTGGTACCCAGTGAGTACGTAAATGCAGTTCCTGTCTTTCCCCCCGCCTTTTTTTTTTTGGAGACAGAGTCTCGCTCTGTTGCCCAGGCTGGAGTACAGTGATGCGATTCTTGGCTCACTGCAACCTCTGTCTCCTTGGTTCAAGCAATTCTCGTGCCTTGGCCTCCTGAGTAGCTGGGACTACAGGTACGTGCCACCATGCCTGGCTAATTTTTAGTATTTTTTGTAGAGACGGGGTTTCGCCATGTTGCCCAGGCTGGTCTCAAACTCCTGGGCTCAGGTCATCCACCTGCCTTGGCCTCCCAAAGTGTTGGGAATACAGGCGTGCGCCACCACACCTGGTTCTTCCCTTCTCTTTAAAAAGCCATCTGTCCACCATGCCCTTTATGTATGCTGGTCGTACTTCCTCGGTAACCTCAGAATATATCATGGAGCAATGGGATAGAATGTTTGACGTGGAATTTTGGAATTCAGGACATCTAGTTGTCAAACCATTGTACTACCCCTCCTGTATTATTTTTTTGACAGGGATTAAAACTGCCCATGCTAAATATCTGAATTCTTTACCTCCTCCCTGGTTGGGCCACTGTTGTATGTTAAGAGTGAGACACTTCATGTCGTGAGCAGTTGAGCCAACCATGTGGGATCAATTTCACTGTGAACCCACAGGACTCCAAACCGTGCCTTTTTTGTTGCTGCTATTCAAAGTGAATGCTGAGATGTAAGGTCATCTCCCACTGCCTGTGTCTGTTACGGATGTGAGCTGCGATGTGGCAGGAGGCCCCCAAGATTAGAAGGCAGCCTGGCAAGGCAGGACTGTCAGAAGATGGGGCTGAAACTCCAACTCACTTCTTGGCTATAGGTTCCTTGGCACATCATTTTCTGTTTTTTTCACTTGTAAAATGGGAGTAAGAATACCTCTCTGGCATCATTTTGCATTATATTGAGTATTTGGGAAAGTATTTGGAAATTAGTAGGCACTCAATACATTAAAAAAAATCCTTTTCATGCCAACGGGTTGACTTAGGGGGCTGGCTGGACACTGATGTTGCTTGCCACTCCATGTGTGGTCCAGGCACTAGAGCACTGGTATTGCCTAGGAGTTTGTTAGAAATTGAGGATCCACCAGATCCCTGGTGATTCATAAAGTCCGAGAGGATCTGAAATTCTACAGTTCTAACAAGTTCCACAGGAGTGGCAAAAAGACCTGAGAAACTGAGAAGAGTCGGGATATGGATGGCATATTAGCCAAGATGGGTTTGCAAAGGTTTTGGGTTTTCCCTGCATTTGCTGCATCCAGATAAGACTGACTTGCTTTTAGCATGAAATTAAACTCTTATGAGGACTTGCTCTAGCACAGACAAGCCAAACCACTAATCTGAATAAATAAGCATCAATTTTATTGAATCATGAATAATTTAAGACTGGTACAATCATCAGCTTTCTTCTCTATGACATGGGGCATGATGTCCAGCAGATCATTGGCAAATCCAAAAACCTCATGACAAATGAAAATTAAATAGGTGAGGAGAGAGAGAGGAGAGGAGGAGGAAGGGGAGGGAGGATGGAAACATACCGTACACAAAATACTCAATTCCTAGTTTTCTCTTTAAAAATGGCTAGAAAAAATTCATCAAAATGCAGCACTTTAATCAATTATTTACAATTTCTATGTTACAATGAAAAAATGTACATCTTATAGAACATATTTCATAAACTGCTCCACTGGAAACAACTAGATCAAAACAGCAAACCTTCCATTTAATATCCACAAAGTTGGATTATTTTTCCTTTTTGAAGTAGATTCGCCACAATCAAATTTGAATACAGAGAATTTTGAAGTTTAAGCATCAAACAACAAAGTAAAAGTCCCCAAGATACAACAAAGATCTAGGCAAGTCTTGTTCCTGTCCCACTCCCACCCCACCCCTAATTAAACTTAAAAGGTATTCCCATTTCACTTATGGCCTGTATCATTCTTGGCAGTTTGGGAAAAGAACTTTTGGCTTCCATTGGTAACTCAACATAAATGTTGCATAGAATTTATACATTTCAAAATTGCCCTAACTGTAGAAAAGGCAAAATGGAAGCATTTCCAATAGAGCCCTAAATGAGTACAAAGTCACTTTGTCAAAGGTGAGTGGCACTAAAGTAAAAATATGACCAAAGTAAGAAATGTGCATATTAGACAACCCTGCTTCCCGAAACTTTAGGAAGGACACTGAGTTGTGAGTCACACAAGGGCTATGCTACTTGAAGTCAATGTTCACCAATCAGGCAGCACCAGGTACAGAAGTCTTGGTTCTGAACCTGGACCCAGTGGGAGGGAAGTCCGTGGGAGAGGGGAGAAGAGAATGACAAGAGAGGATGTCATATTAAAAAAAGGTTTCAAACAATATTGGCAGGTGCCTACTCACAAGGTGATTGGAAAACTGCCCACGAGGAGAAGTCAACTTTACCTCCTCCTAAATTCACAGTACGCGAGTGTAGGGTCATTGCTGGGAGATAAATTGTCTAAGGAGGGCCACCCTTCAGGTTTACCAGAAATCTTAAGGTTTGGCCCCCCTGGTCACAGGCTAAATATATGGTTTGAAAGTTTTATTAAAAACAAAACAGAACAAGACACACTCACTCCCAGATGACTAATGAAGGCTAAGCAGAATAGTCTGAATTTGCTGAGATTAAAGCAGGGACAGTGTTGAAAAGTTTTCCTTTCACTAGTGGGACACATTCCCCTTCTCTTTTTAAAGAGGAAGAACATGGTGTCATCCAATACGAAGTGAGCAGTTTCGGGTCAAACTCTTATGGTAAGAAACTAAAAAAAGATGCCAAGAGACAAATCTTCAGAAATAGAAATGCAAAAGATGGAATAAAAACCCTGATCATTAAAACAGAGACACCTTTGCTGGTGTCCCATAGAGATTCTCTTTATAAAACAGAAACAAACAACTCAAAAATTTATCATACTTCGTAACGAAAATACCAGTATGTTGAAGACGCAGCAGACCGGGTTTCTATTAGAGCAAGTATCAGCAAGGTCATGTAGACTGTAGAAGCTTTTGCCTTCTCCTGTACCAGACAGATCCCTGTCCAGTTGGGTTGTCAGCTGGAGACTGATGAGAACCTAAAAAATAGATCTTTTTTTCTTTTCTTTTTCCCATGGTCACGCATCCACACGAATGAGTCTTTCGGATAGAAAAGTCACAGCAACTTGAGTTCTCCTAATGAACAGATGACTTTTTAGCCCTGTTTGTTTCAATGGGGAAAACAATGACAAAAAAAACAAACCCCAGGCAGGCACAACACTTATGTAAAACGAACACAGTTAGTACAAAACCAGTAAGGCATCACTTTGGGAAGGTCAGCACCGAAGAGGTCAGGCAAGGCTCGTCCAGACGGGGCTTCTGGGAGGGGGTGACCCTCACCCTTGTTGAGCTGCGTCATGTTGGTTCTGAGGAAAGTGCAAGTCTTTTGCGGGGTGACCTCATCACTCCACCGGAAGCTGGGGCGGGGGGCGCTGGAGGTGTTGGTGTGTGTTCTAAACCCTCAAGGATGAGAAGGGAAGGCAAGGTCCATGGCTCACCCACATGTCGAGGACTGGGTCCTCATCCATTTTAAAGGACACAGATGCCCCCAGCCCTAGCAGGAGGAGGCGAGTGTGTAGGACTGTGAGGATGGACAACTAAAAACCAAAACTGAGCAGGACCAAACCGAAACTCAACTCCTGCGGTTCTTACTTTCACCAAAGGATTGATTCTGACCAAGAGGGGAAGGGGGAAAAAAATCTTCAAAAATCAATGCATCAGAAAGGAAGAAACTCAACCTCATTTTCAAAAGGTAATCTGTTCTCCAAAGTAGAACAAGTCTCACTATACACAGTGTTTGCAGAAAAAACCAAACAAACAAAAAAAACACCACCTGATTCATTCATATATCAGAAGGAAACAGACGCATGCCGTTCTGCACTGACAGCTACATCCACTCGCTCACACTCTCACTCCTTCACTCTCTCACGGATTAATCGGAGGCTGATGGACCTGAATGGGGTGGTTGGATTGAAACAGGCAAAATACCTCTCAAGTAAGGAAAGCACCATTTAAAAAACATGAAAGCATGGTTTATTTTCTCCTAAGGTTTCCCTGTGTCGTAGCTCTGTAGTGCGTTGAACGTGACCAAAGCAAGCACCCTGGTTAGCACCAGTTCTCCCTGTGGCCGGCTGTGCAGGAGGGTGGGTGGTGTGGCTCTGAAACCCAGTCTGGAGGGTCTGTGCTGAGGGGAAGCCATGCTTCTCTGTGTTTCCAACTTTGCTCCAGTCTCTTCTGTCTCTGGGAAGCTTATGTCAGGATGCTGTTTGGTTTCAGAGCTTCATGTGGGTTCTATTTTTTTTTTGTCTCTCTTTTCATTTCAACGGCGATGATCCTTTCCCGAGAAGTATCTTCAGTGTCTTAGGGAGGTCACAGCAACAAGGCAAAACAATAATTAAAGTACAACCGAAGGTAGTGCAGTTCTCGCTGTGGAAGGAAGCGGTCCGCAGGCAGCTGGCCCAGGATGCCTGCACCCAGGTCGAGGCTGAAGGATGAGGGGTCTCGGTGTTCCCGCAGCTTTAGGGCTACGGCTGGGGGCTGGCTCAGGAAGTCAACTTCAGGATGATGTTGGGGATGCAGGTGGAACGGGGCGAGGAGAAGAGGAGGGCACTGGGCTCCAGGCCCCTGTCACAGAGTGGACTCCAAAGAGGAGTCCAAGATGTCATCGTGATGGCTGTTACTGTTGGAGTCGCTGTCATAGCTCTGGGGGCTGGAGTAGTTGGCTGCCTCCTGCAGCCTCATCAGCATGTTCATCTAGGGGAAGAGTGGAGAAGCATGAGCTGCTTTCTGTCTAGTTGGCTGCCCACCCTGAACTCCTAGAAGGTCATGCCACCTCCTCCAGACTCACCTGGGATAACAGCCCACAGTGGAGGCAGTGGACAAGAACATGGACTTTGGGCCAGGCTTCCAGGGTTCAAATCCCAACTTCACCAATTACTAGCTGTATGACTTTGAACACGTTACTTAACCTCTTCATACTTGTTTCTTTACTGGTCAAATGTGAATAATAATAGTACCTGCCCTATAATGTTATGGAGTGGATTGAGTTAATGTATGTAGAGCACTGAAAACAAAATGATGCTCTCTATACATATTATATTTATTTTTTATTTAGGAGGGGCACCCCTTTCAGGTATAGCCCTTGGCCTGGATGAAGGTGTGGCTGCGTGTCCTGGCTCCTGGAACTTGGCATCAGCGTCACCAACATCTGAAGCACACGGACCCCCTCCCACTTCGACAGGCATCAAACCTGTCTCTTTTCCTTGCTCTGGCCAGGTCAGACTGGAGCCAACTGTGCTCCAGCTCCTGTGGAAGCCTTGGCAGGGAGGTGAGGGGAAGTGCCAGTTACAAGCAAAGCATCCAAGTGCAAAGAGCCTTCACTTGTGGTTCAGGAATCTCTGGGCAAGTTACCTAAGGTATCTGAGCCACCAGTTCGTCATCTATGGAATGGGGAGAATGGCAACACTTCTCATAGGGTTGAAGTAGGCAGTAAAATGATATAATGTGTATTAAACCCTTAGAAGAGGGGATGGCCTGGCATATAGTAAGTGCTTAATAAATGTCATCTGTTGTCATCACCATGTAACTTAAAGAAAAGAGTTTAGCGACAGTGTTCTTGAATGTGCCCTTGTTTACGTTCTACGGGTCACTTGTTTGGGAGTGGGGAGAGGGAATAAAAGCTACTTTTATTTATAACTGTAAATTGTGTGTATGTATTGTATATTTTATATAGCAAGTAAGTCAGGAATATGGGGCCTGAGCTAAGGCCAAGATGTGGTGCAGCTGGGCGTACAATCCAGCTGCCCCTCAGGATGCTTTGCAGAGTCTACCCAGATGTGCCAGGCTGCAGAAGTACCATCATCTGGTGTCCATCTGCACAGACATAACCAGGGAAGAGGCAGAGCTGAAGTACAATGGACAATCCTTGGCAACTGGGATTACTTATTTACTCATTAAACACTCCCAATATGTCCACAGTATATGTTCTGGAACAAAAACAAATAAATCCTGTTCTCATGAAGGTCTCAGTCTTGTGAGTGAGAAAGATTAACACATAAGAGAGCTATGATAATAGAGACACATGGCCCTGGGCAGAAAGAGCAGAACTGGGAGAAATGTCAAATATCTAACTGGATAATAGAAGTGACTGGACTGGTACCGCTCACTTCTGGGGGCCTGGGGTTGGAAGGAGAATTCTGTTTCTGGATTTCCAAGAATCCTGAGTCTTACCTACACACCTTCTGTGTCCAACCAGTGATACAAATGTTACTGGCTCAGAAAAGATTGTTTAGGGATGGGCTGGCCATTCTTTCCTCTAGATATACTAAATTCTATTTTCTATGTAAGTTAAGACCTCATGAGTTTGCTTCCGCAAAAATACCTCCGTGACCTTGGCTTTCGGCAATGGTTAACATTGCAAATGGCTGTTTAAAGTATGCCTCTTTCCTTTGTAAGACTACTGTTATAAATATTGCAAACTAGGTTGTACATGGCAATACAAATAATAAATCCTTAAAAAATACAGTTCCCACTAAAATCTTCAACAGAACCACAGCTACATCCCACCAAACAGCAGGATGGAAGACAACCTGAATTGCCTATTCTTCTTCTTCTTATCTAGGGACTTAATTAGCTGCTAGGAATAGAACAGTAAATCAGTTGTCCTTTAATCCTGCTGCATCTCTTATATTTTCTTTTAGGTAATGCAAATAATATTCTCTGTTATGTTTTCTTTTAGCTATGCCTGCCAAGAAAGCTTGGGCCTAAATTTAAGGCATGATAATAGTCCTTTAACCATGGGAGGTTTTGGTATATTTGCTTCCTCTGTATTTTATTGGGCTTTTGACTTGTTAGGTCTAATTTAGCAGTATGACTTTGCATGGGTCTTATATTGGTAGAGTACTACAATTAATTAGAAATGCTACTGTGATTGGCCCAGGTGTTTCTTTTGTTTGTTTGTTTGTTTGTCTGAGACAAGGTCTGGTTCTATCAACCAGGTTGGAGTGCAGTGGCACAATCTTGGCTCACTGCAAACTCTGCCTCCTGGGCTCAAGCCTTCCTCCCACCTCAGTCTCCTGAGTAGCTGGGACTATAGGCGTGTGCCACCATGCCTGGTTAACTTTTGTATCTTTTGTGGAGAAGAGGTTTTGTTACGTTGCCCAGGCCGTTTTCGAGCTCATGAGCTCAAGCAATCCACCCAACTCAGCCACCAAAAGCACTGGGACTACAGGCATGAGCCACTGCACCCAGCCCGGTGCTTTGTTGTTGTTGTTGTTGAGACAGTGTCTTGCTCTGTCGCCTAGGCTGGAGTACGGTGGCACAGTCTTGGCTCACTGCAAGCTCACCTCCCAGATTCACGCCATTCTCCTGCCTCAGCCTCCCAAGTAGCTGGGACTACAGGTGCACGCCACCACGCCTGGCTAATTTTTTTGTATTTTTTAGTAGAGATGAGGTTTCATTGTGTTAGCCAGGATGGTCTTGATCTCCTGACCTCGTGATCTGCCTGCCTCGACCTCCCAAAGTGCTCGGACTACAGGCATGAGCCACCCCAGCCCAGGTGCTTCCTAAAGGGCCTTTATTGTTTTAGCAACAGCCAAATAAATAAGAAGCTTAAACGGTGTTAAAGACTGAGCTCATCTCAATGGCCATGGGACTCATATTCAGGCCCCCTCCCCACTGTGAGTCCCTCCTGCCCTCAGACCTCTCCGTCTACTCTCCTGATCATTTGCCTTGGGCTTCCGGTCCTCAGCAATCTCTTCCTCTGCTCTGTTATTGGTAGGAGAGATCAAAGGAATAGGATAGTAGGTAATAGAGGTGGCATCCCAAATCAGAGGGCAAAGAGTTGTACAGAGACAGTAGGTATAAGAACATTTAAGGGGAAACATCAATTCTTAACCTTTTATCTAGAACCAGAAAAAATTTTAGAGGAAAAGTCTTTAGGGATAAACACAAACCATGGAAGAAAATATTGGCGAAAATGGCCCTAATCTTGGGGTCATTTTCCAAATGGCCCAGTCATTTGAGTCCAGCCTTCCAAAGCAAGGCTGGGTTTAGTCACCTTTGTGTTTCCAGAGGCCCCGCATCATACCCAACATACAGTAAGTGCCCAACGAATGCTGAACCATTCTGGCAGCTGAGGACTCACCAGCGGATCACCTTCAGCATCACTGGGGGGCACCTGCTTGCTTGTCGATCCCTCCCGAGGCATGGAGTAGCCGTCGAAGCCGACATCCTCAGGCCGTAACTGCAGCAGGGGAGGCCACTCATGTTGTTGTGGGCTGGCTGCCCATGGATATGTGTCCATCACCCACTTGGCAGGATCCTCCCAGGGGGCACGCCTTCCATAGAGCTGAAAACAGGCAAAGAAGGAACAGTCTGGAAGTGGCCGAGATCTCCCTTGGAGCCCCAGTTTTGCAGCTTTCTGAAAAACTCCCCAAACCCAGCATCATGCCTTCCCTGATGGAGTAATTCCACTTCTAGAATCCCATCCTTAGGAAGTCATCCAAGGTGCAGATGGCTCGAGGTGCTAAGGCTGAAGGCAGTATGACCCAGTGGTCTAGAGCACAGGCTTTGGAGTCAGGGCGATCTGGGTTCATGTTTCAGTTCTGCCACTGACTCACCATGTGACCCTAAACTCTGAGCCTTGGTAATCCAATTTGGAAAACTGGCTCTAGGGGAAAAACAATGACCTGATTTGAAGCATTTGCTGACTTCCATGGTACAATCCCACCATGACTGATTTCAAATCACTGACATGATGTCACTGGATGTGGAGTTGGAAAGAGGTGCTACCAGCTTTTAAGAGCCAGCTCTAGTACTCCACTGGGTGCATCTACCCAAAGAATACCGCCTACATACCTTGGGTGCTGGGCATCAACACTGCAGGCAGAGGTCACAATGGCCCTGGCTCAATATTTATTTTTATTTGGTATTGAGACAAGGTTGTGCAATGTTGCTCAGGCTGGAGTACAGTGGCATGATCACTCTCCCTGTGGCCTCAATCTCCCAGGCTCAAGTGATCCTCCTGCCTCAGCCTCCCAAGTAGCTGAGACTGCTTGTGTGCCACCATCTCTGGCTAATTTTTAAAACTTTTTTTTTTTTTTTTAAAGAGGGGGTCTCTCTCTGTTGTCCAGACTGGTCTCAAACTTCTGGGCTCAAACAATCCTCATGCCTTGGTCTTCCAAAGGTCTGGGATTATAGGTGTGAGCCACTGTGCTGGGCTGGTCCTGGCTCAATAAAACCCCATTTCTTGAAATGGGTCTGACTCTCACAGCCCCTATATAGAAGCACTGCTCCTTTTCAAAACAGCAAATTGCTAAAAGACGCTGCACATAAGCAGTGAAATGATGAGGACTTCTCCCTTGTCATGTGTTTCTCAAAATTCCATAATAGCTAATTGGCTCTTAAAACAGTAAACTATATTATCACTTAATTTTATAGTAAGATCAACACCATGCCTCCAAGCTCCTTTTGTTAAGCCTCAATTATCTAATGGTAAAATGATTTAGTGACCATTACTAGCAATTTCAAGAAGGACATACATTCCTTAAAGAACAGAAACCTAGACTGGACCCCTTCCCAATGTGAGGCTATGCATATTACGCAGCTAGGTATAGGCTTTGTATCTTTCTCCTTTAACACCACCACATCTTGCAGCTGACTGTGTGCCAGGTACTGTGAGAAATGCTTTACAAATACCTTGCTTAACCACCGGGCAACTCCAAGAGGAAGTACTACTGCCCATGATTTACAGATGAGGAAACAGGCCCAGGGAGGAGAGAAGCCAGAATTGGAAACTAAGTGTGTTCAACTCCACGGCCCACTAGTTTGGCCTACTTGGTCCATGTGGCAGGACATGCTCACAGCCAGGGCAGTGTCGCCTGTAGTTCTGCAAAGAGGACTCTGCAGGGGGCCTTGAGGCACAGAGATTAAAGAGTCCTGTGGGCCACCACGGCTGTAGTGTGTCTCTAGGGTGGCCATGGCTGGCTGTCTGTCTGCTCCCCCTGCCCTCCCGGGAATCCTGCAGTGGAGAGAGTACAGAGAGCAAGGTGCTGACAACAGTGCAAAGCTGAGCTCTGAACCAACAAAACCACTTCTTTCCAAGGGGAAGGAGCTGGGGCCACCTAGCCCCACCCCCTCATTTACCAGATGGGCCAGTCAAGGCCCAAAGAGCAGAGCCCGCTGAGAAAGGTTGTCGGGCAGGGCCCGATTTGAACCTAGAACTTCAACTTCCTTTGCCAGGCCTTTTTCCCCCCAACCCCTCCTGACTGACACCACCTGGAGCAACTCTATCAGTCAGAGCCACGTGACTCAGCCAGACCCAGAGCAGGGAGACGCGGAGCAGGCTGTTGGCCAGATAGCAGTGTGTCAGCCTGCTGGGCTCATTGTCCCCGCCAGCGGTGCCCATGCTCCCTTGACCGTCTGTGCCAACTGGGACCTCTAGGTATGATTTCTGTCAGGGAAGCTGCCCACCCAGCCGCTTCTCAGATGGGCCCCTCTCTCTGCATTTGTGGATATCACCCCCTCTGCTTAAGTCACGCAGCCTCCTATGACTCATTGCCTTCCCAGACACCAGCACTCCTCCCGTCCCATGTTCTGGCCCAGTCTGTTGCTAAGTCTTCCTTAACCTGGGGCAGGAGTGAGTCTCAGGCCTAGGAACTCACTCTGGCATTTGAAAGGCAATTATTGCATGAGCAGGAAGGAATCGTGTGAGGGGCATGCATTTGTGTGTACGTGGGCATGTGTCTCAGGGCAGAAGAGAACACAAAAGTGGGATATTTGGAGCAGAAGGAGGTTGCTCCAGACTAGAACCATTTGTGCAGTTTTGAGAAGTTTCTCCCTCTGAGGTCTTTCCCTGTGGAAACTGGGCTGCATTTCCCAAGCCAGACCTCACATGAGGCTGAACCAAACCCTCACAGCGACTACTTCTATGACGGCTACTGCTCCTGTCTCCACCCTACAGCCTGGATGAGGACGTGCTCAGGGTTGCAGAGCCACAGAGGCTAGAACTCCTGGAGCTGAACCTGTCCTCAGAGATTACCTGGCACTGTGGTTTTCAAACATTTGCTCTTCATCTCTGGTCCTCAACTGAGTAGATTGGGGGCTTCATAGAAACCAGCCTGAAAAAAACACTCTTCTAGTCCAAACTTGTCAATTTATAGATGGAGAAGCCAAGGCCAAGAGACAGGAGACCTGTCTGGGGTTTCAGAGGAGGCTGGATAATCTGATACATGGCCCCGCACTCACCCTGCACTGTTCCTGTTCCCTGCAGGAACCAGCCCTGCCCTAGGCACAGAGAGGTCTTTTGAGTTACCCTGTAGACTTTAGACACTTTGGCAAGTGTTTCCAATGACAGCTCCAAAGGGAAGCAGGGCTGAGGACTGAGTCATAAGACAAATGCACATTAGGTACACGCTAACATCATCTGCAAGAACAGAAAATATTTTTACAAGCCTCCTCACTTGTCACTGGACATGTTCAAGTCTGGGTGATGAATGGCTGGGTAAGAACCATGGCAAGCAATGGAAACATCATAAAGCTCCTCAGCTCCACTGCAGGCCCTGAGGGTAGCAGCAGAGACAGTTGGACAGACAGACACAGAGGGGAGGACATTCACTTTCCCTGAGGCAGGGGAAGAAATCTGGCATCCCTACTGGGTAAGGAAAAATGGGAGCAGGACAACAGGGAGCTGAGACACTGAAAACTAAAACCTGGGCCACTGTGAGCCTTCTGACTGTGGGATGCAGGGGGCTCCTGGGAGCGTGAGCACATCACAGAAGAATGCATCAGCTGCACATTCAGGAAGCTCCTCCAAGCAGTTCCACAAGTGCATCTGCACATACACACCCTTGCAGTGCTACCTTATGCTCACTAGAGGGCGATATCATGTCTCCTCCTGGCATGGGTGTACCTGTGTGAGGGGCTGCCTGGAAGCCATCCTCATCCCCTGAAGACAGCAGGTCTCCTTATGGTCCCACCAAATCCATACTACCATGGGCAGGCAGCCCTGCATCCCAGCTCCTGGTGCGCGGCAGCCCTGTCAGAACCCATTCGAGGGACTCCACCTCTTCTCAGACTAGAACCTGGGCCAAGGGATTACTCACTCTGAACTGCAACATGCTCACTTCATGGCCACTTACCTGGGTTAGGTGAGGGGCAGGTGACCCTAGAGTAGGCGTGTACTCAAAGTAACACAAAGGAGAGTATGAACTTTTAATTTTTTAAAAATAAAGGAATCCTTTTGTCAAATGAAATAATAAGGGGAACTCCACTCTATAAAATTCAGTATTTGGTTCCCCAAGCCACCTGACGCTTTTCAGTGGAGTGACGGGGGTCCTCAGGATAGCTGAAAATAATAGAAGTAGCCGGGGGTCAGCTAGTCCTGGGCACCAACGCTCACTCCATCATACCCTGCTGAGGGAACTTGGTAAGGGGCAAGAACGTCCGTGAGCCTCAGTTTCCTCATCTGTAAGAGACTCACTGGGCAGTCAGAACTAAATGAGATCATGCATGTCAGGCCCCTAATAGTGCCTGGCAAGTAGCAGGCCCTCAAAAAACATCACCAAATGTTCCTTCAAAACCAGAGGCATGAAGAACACAGCAAGCTTCCCCAGGAATCCGCAGAGTCTACATGGTCTCCTGGGTTCATCAGGATGGCGAAGTCACAGGTTTGGGGCATAGTGACTCACTTTTGAGCCACTTAGTGGGATGCAAACTCTGGCCGCCTCCCTTTGCAGCTCTGCACTCTTGAAAGACTAACCTTCAAGTGACCTCAAAGCACAAAGCAGTGATGACTTTTCCTGCCTCACACTGAACTGGTGAGTCTTGAGATTGGAGCACGTCTCTGCTTCCTGCCCCATATTGCTGGGGCCTCACTTTCTCATGCTGGGAAGGCACCTAATGCTCCTCTATGATCAGCTCCATCAGCAACCTCTCCTAGGTGGGAAGGGGAGTTCCTTTCCAGCCATGCCCAGAAAGTCTTCTTTTAGGTTCCAGTCCAAAGGAGCAGGGCCTTGGCACCGCCATCCACTGATAACCAATGAGGGGCTTGCTCAAGTGCAGCTCAAGGCTGGAGCACAGACAGGCTCCCTACTTCTGGGTTAATGCCTCCCAGGGCAGAGGAGGCCTTTACTCGGCAGAGCCCATGAGTTCTTCCCAGTGACTCTGAGGTTCACTCCCCTTCCTATACCAGAAGACAATATTGAGAGCAAAGATGAAGCAAATGGGAGAAGGTGAGGTGGAATCAGGGGCAAACAGTCCACCTCATTCGCCTGCAATTCTCTTTGCTTTTCTTAAGCAGCTTGGGTTTCCCAGAGGTGCTGGGCGTATCACACTCCCTGGAAGCCACCAATGAGAACAGAGGAGAGAGGCCTCTGAAATGAGACAGACTGCAAGAATCCAGCAGGTAGGAGATGCTTCTACTGGCCCCAAAGTAGGAATGACTGGGTGGTCGTTTGGGTCTGTGGTACTAACAAAACCATTTGATTCAGGACTAAATTGTGGTCAATTTAATCCAGGCCAGTGACTTTACCTACCTAGGGAGATTCCACTGCAAAGATCTAAAGTCATTCATACCTTCTTGTATGAAAGCAACAGTGGACAGAGCACTGTTAACTAATGATTTGGGGCTGGCCAAAGGTTGCCTAATTTCTTGCTTTTTTCCTGCTTTCACAATACACTTGTATTAAATATGCTGACTTGAATTTGCAACGCGTATCCTCCAGTTTAACGAAATGCATCACAAGAGGCAAAATATTTTCCTTTTCAAGCTCCCTTTGTCCCGAATGCCTCTGAAGACCATCATTGCTGCTATTAATCATAGACAGAAAATAGTTCAATATTTCTCAGTTCAGACAAATATAGAGAAATGACAAACAGTGACTGCAGCCATTAACTTGCATTTATCACACACGTGCCTGCGGGTGCACACCGGTCCCTGCGCCCTCCACAGGTCTACGATAGCATCTTGTGTCTCCCATTGTCCAGTACCAAGGAAACAAAGAAGCTCTTGGAAACCTGGCTACCAAACTGGTTTCTGGATTATTCAGCCACACGTGATGTCTGCTAATTATGCACTGTGAGTATTAAAAGCCTACAGAACTTCTTAGGCAGCCTTGTTGAGCTGCCTCCAGGCTCAACAATAAAACTATCCCAAGTTCCAAATTAATGGTAAGCTTCCATTTAAACCCTGAGTTAAGTGAGAAGTAAGAATTTGTGCTTTCCGGGCTGGTAGCACATGCCTGTAATCCCAGCTACTTGGGAGGCTGAGGTATGAGAACTGCTTGAACCCAGGAGGTGGAGGTTGCAGTGAGCTGAGATTGTGCCACTGTACTCCAGTCTGAGTGACAGAACAAGACTCTGTCTAAAAAAAAAAAAAAAGAATTTGTGCTTTCCAACTGCTGCCAGGCAGGAGGAACTGGAAGCCTTACGGGCCCCAAAGTTACCTAAGAGGGTAGGGGCGCTGATGTCAGGGAAAGAGTGCCACCAGCCTCAGGGCTAAGAACCTGGAATTTGACCCAGAAGGCATGGATTCAAATCACAGACCTTTCAAGTTTCCCTTTTGTAACCTTAAGCACATCATTTATTCTCTTTGAGCCTCATTTTTTTCTCTTAAAAATGGAGTAAAAAACCAAATTTGTGTCCAAGTTCCACGACTAATCCAAGGCTTAACCCAAAAGGCAGATAAGAGAATATTTTGCAAACTGTGAAGTACTCCACATGTATATGGTTCTACTTCTCATGCACTCATGATGCTGAGCACTTTTGTTTCATCCTTGCAACAAACTCTTGGTGGCAGAATATCAATGAGGGCTCTGAGGCACAGACAGGCTAACCAGCTGGCCTGGGGTCACAGCGCTAATGGGTGGCAGAGCCAGGACTTGCAGCCAGGTGTCCTTACACTGTGCTAGACTGATGACTTCCCAGGCGAGGGGTTGTCACCCCATGTCAGTCAGATTCCTGGAGGAGGAGATAAAGACAACTCATCTGGTCACCAGAACAGTCCCCCTCAGCTTCGAGGAAGCCAGCAGGGGTGCCTTCTCACCTGGAGTCCTTCTCTGACAGCTTCCAGGAGATAGGGGATAATGGAGTAGTTCCACAAGTCGGTGAACCACACTCTCGAGCCGTCCACATCGATGGGGCATGACAGGAAGAGCCGGGGGCCTGGAGACCACAGTGAAAATACATTAGCACTCAAATGGGCGTGGGTGACGGGGCATCGGGTGAAGCCATGGTCCGAGCACCCATCACAGGAGGGACCCTGGACGTTCTGACGGCAGGGCTGAGGCCTGTACACAGATACACTAGCCTTGGACGGTGGGCACAGAGAAGGACACTCTGACCCCTGATTCTACCTGGGGGTCTCCCTCCTCCAGGAAAGGCTTGATGGGGAAGATGCTCACTGTGGCATTACTAATCTTGATTTTTAAAAATGGAAGCCCAAGACTACAAGTCTAAAAGAACAGAAACAGTTAAGCAAATGAGGGTACATCTGCATTTGATCATTTTGTAGCCTTTAAAAATAATTTTAAAAACTGAGTAATTGGCTGGGCATGGTGGCTCATGCCTGTAATCCCAGCACTTTGGGAGGCTGAGGCTGGTGGATCACCTGAGGTCAGAAGTTCGAGATCAGCCTAGCCAACATGAAGAAACCCCTTCTCTACTAAAAAATACAAAAAAATTAGCCGGGTGTGGTGGCAGGCACCTGTAATCCCAGCTACTCGGGAGGCTGAGGCAGGAGAATTGCTTGAACCTGGGTGGTGGAGGTTGCTGTGAGCCAAGATCACGCCATTGCACTCCAGCCTGAGCAACAAGAGCAAAACTCTGTCTCAAAAAACAAAAACAAAAACAAAACAACAACTGAGTAGCAACAGAGAATGCTCATGAGATAGTGCTAAATGAAAAAGGATTTTTTTTTTTTTGGAGTCTAGCTCTGTTCCCCAGGCTGGAATGCAATGGTGCAATCTCGGCTCACCGCAGCTTCGGCCTCCTGGGTTCACGCGATTCTTCTGCCTCAGCCTCTTGAGTAGCTGGGATTACAGGTGCATGCCACCACACCCAGCTAATTTTTTTGTATTTTTAGAGTAGAGACGCGGTTTCACCATGTCGGCCAGGCTGGTCTCAAACTCTTAACCTGAGATGATCCATCTGCCTTGGCCTCACAAAGTACTGAGATAACAGGCAGGAGCCACCATGCCTGGCCAAAAGGAACATGTTATATGTATGCTATGATTGCCACTACATAAAGTGTAAACATATATATATATATATATATATATATATATATATATATATATATATGAACAAGGACAGAAATCTTAGTTCGAATAATGAAAATTATGTCAAGATGGTGGGAAGGTTAGTGATCTTTTTTTCTCTGTTCTAAATGTCCAGCTTTCAGAAATGCTGGTAACACTTCATTTTTCAAGCAAAGCCAATCCTGAGGGTAGCTTCAGCTTGGGGGAACCTTGAGGTGGGAGCTCTTTAGTGAGCTAGCAGTTTCTACATCGGGCCAGGATGGACACATCTCTCTTCTGCAGACCACTAGCAATCTGGGGTCTGCCTGGACTGTGACTGTCCCTCTGCCCCCTTTCTATCTTTATGGACAGTCCAGCTTCTGCTGACTGTGCCTGCAAAGTGCTGTCCTGGCCAGGGCCCAGAGGATGGGCACCTGAGGATGCCAGCCCACCCCCTCAACCCAGTCTCCCACCCACCGATGGTGACGTCCGAGGAACTGTGAGCCTCCAGGAAGCGGTTGAGGTGATGCCAGACCTTGGGAATCCAGTCGATGATTTTTACCAGCTCCATATTGCGCACCCGCCCACTGATCTCTGTTTCCATGAGCTTCCTCCTCAGGAATCGGCCAAGGAAACCCTTCACAGGCTCCGTGTGGTTGGCACAAAGCACCCATCTGGAGGAAGTCAGAAACACTTTTCAAGATGATAGTGATCCAAATGATGGCTGACCTCAGGAACCAAAGCATGTTAGAAACAGAAGGTGTATATGCTAATGCAACAAATTGGATTAGCTATGCACCGAACAGTTGTAAACATTGTAACTATGTATTAACTCACAGTTCCTCATAGCAACCCTCTAACATGGATATTATTACCACCTCCATTTTACAGACAGAAATGCTAAGGAACAGACAGGTCATGTAACTTTTCCAGGATCAAACAGCTAGTTAATTGAAGAGCTAAGATGGGAACCAAGAAGCCTGGCTCCAGCGGCTAGGCTGTACCCACTGAGATAAACTGCCTCTTGTGCTTGGTGTTAAGCCCTGTGCTACGCTATGGAACTATCACTATGACTAAGACACAGTCCTGGTCCCCAGGAGCTCACAGTCTGGTGCAGGAGACAGACAGGCAAAGAGAGAAATGAAATATGATGAAGCCTAAGGGAATCAGGGAAGGCTCCTGAGAGGAGGGGATGTGTGGGCTGAGACTGGACAGTTAATGGGCAGCAACATAAGGAAAGGCAGGAGCAGGTGTTAGGGTCAGGAGTGGGGTGATGCTGCAGCCTTCGCAAAGGCATGGGAAACAGCATGGGTGTTTGCAGAAAATACCAGAAGTTTAGTGTGACTGAAGTTCAGACTTGACCTGCCAATCCACGGAGTCTGGATTTCATTCTGCAGGCCATAGGGAGCTAGAGCCACTGAAGGACTTTAAGCACGAGAGTTCTATGGTCAGATGTGCACTCTAGAATGCTCACTCTGGTCTGGCTGCCACAGTGCAGAGGACTGGCTACAGGGTGCGGGGGGAGGCTGCAAGCAGACATACTGACTAGGTGATGGCAATGGTGTGCTGGGTGATGATGGGGCACTGATGGGGGGAAGAGGAGGATGATGGACTTGAGGGATAGTTAGGGGAAAGCATGAACAAGACCAGGACAGCCTAAATGCAGAGGTGAGCCATGCTCTCAGTGTGCTGGAGGAGTCAACATTTCTCTAGTAATTACATTCAGACCCACTTTCAATAGATCTCCCTCAGAGATGCCTGCAGAATAGCCAGTGGAAATGAGCCGGGGGTCCCAGCCCAGGAGACAGCTTCACATCCACCTCTAAGGACCCAGGCAGGAGAGGTGAAGTCAACTGAGATTCATTATATGGGGAAGGGGTGTTTGGTGATGTCAATCAGACAGTAATGCAACCTAGCACAACCGAGGAGAACGGTCCCTCCCACACCCTGGCCGTGAGAGAGCACCAGCATGGTGCTGTGGCAGCGGGGCAGGGAAGACGAGCTGGCAGGGAGTCACAGCAGCTGGGACTCGAGGGCCCACAGGCCCAGCTAGGTGGGGACGTTTTAGGTAAAAGCTGCCATTGCTCATGTTCACTTGGGACAGAGAGACGCCACTGGTAACAAGAGGGCAGCAGGGTCACCTGCAGTCCCTTCCAGAGCTGCCCCTTTGACCCTGTGACAGCAGGACTCAGAGGCAGAGACCTGAGTGCAAGTTCCACTCTGCCACTGACCAGTGTGTGACCTCACCCAAGTCACTGAAGTCTCTGGGCCTCAGTTTCCCCATTTGTAAACGGAGAGTGTTAAATGTAATTACTTGAGGCTGAAGTTAAAATTAAATGGATTAAGCTGAGAAAAATGCTTAACAATACCTAGCATAGAACGCATACTCAACACAGGCATCTCTACTCGCCCCTTCTTGCTTTCCCTCTTTGTGATTCCAGAGTTTAACTGGACAAGGGAAGGGAAAACTGACCTGAAGTTATGGTGAAGCTGCAGGTTGGGAGTCGAAGAGGTAGCCTGGTTCATTGTGCCAATTATGTAAGGGCTGTGGGTAAAATAAAGGAAAAGAAAGCTGTGAGTTCAAGTCAAGCTAGAGAACAAGGTGGTCACAGAGGCCCGCGGCCCTGTGCTTCCAGGCCGGTGGACAGCTAGCCACCTCCCCCTCCCAACCCTATGTGTGTGCACAGCTTCACTCCCATACTGGCCCTGGGCTGCCTGTGTGCACAGTGCCCCGTAAGGTGGCAGCACTCTCTCCCGGGGGCTATGAGGTCCAGAACCAGCCTTTACCATTTGTGGTACTTGCAGTTGAGCAGCCCGTTGAAGATCTCGCCCAGAGAGCTCACGTGGTGTAGGTTGTCCAGGATGATGACGAGGGGCATGTCCACAGCATTGTTCTCACTGTTGCACTGGTCAGCAAGGTTGGACAGGTACTGGCGCAATTCCTATGGTGGCCAGGAAGGCCGAAGGAGAACAAGTTGGTGAATGTACTCAGTGAAGACACACTGCTCAGGGTCTTTGCCTCAGCCAGGCCAGTGGAGGCGGAAAAGCCCTTCATGATGCTGCGCTGTGAACACATTCCGGGTGCCTGCCTATTACAGCGCATTGGCTTGGTGCTCAGGGGATGCAGAGTGGGCATGGGATGAGTTAGGACTGGGTCCTGCCTTCCAGTCAGTATTCACCCGATGACTGAAAACCTTGAGCCTGGGGTAAAAGTACAGCACTGTGCTCTGTATGTATGTGGCCTGAGAGCTACATACACAGAAGCCCTCTACACATTAGATCAGCAGAGGAGCCAGACACACACTTAAGTCAGGCTGAGTAGTGCTGTGGCAGACACAACACACAGCACAGGGGAGATGAGTCTACATGCACCGAGCTTGGGAAAATCCTGCTGAAAGGGCAGGCTTTGGATTTAACCTGGAGAATGGGTGGGGCATTGGCTCAGCAGGGACTAGAACACAGCCTGCATGCCTGGGGTAACGGATGCATGTCAAAAATGGAAGAGGAAGAATAATGGTGCATCTGTGGAAAAGGCTGAAATGGCAAGGTAAGGAGCTGGCAGAGAACCTACGATGGCTGCCTGCCATTACTGTCATCATCATGATAGCTGGCATCACTTAGAGCCAGGCAGGGCTTTAAGAGCCTTACACACCGGAACTTCTGTAGTCCCACAGTAACCTAGAAGGTGAGTAGTATGATTACCTCCATTTTACAGATGGAGAAGCTGAGGCATGGTACGATCAGGTGCCTGGCCTGAGAGTGCACAGTGGGTAAGCAGTGGGCATGGGTCAGAGCTGGGTTCCTGCTCTAGTCAGTATCTTCACCACACTGGCCTGTCTTAGATGCGAGCCTGCTTGCTCAGGGGCTAACATCTTCTCCCTCTCCTACCAGCACCCACCCATCCTGGGCCTCCATTTTAAGTCAAAATATGACTTGTTAGCAGGAGAAGAAGCCCACCTTTTAAAGTGACTGGTTCTTTTAGTCCCTCTTCACTGTGATCTCTGGGCCCCAGGCACGTGGCTCCCCATACCTGCAGAGCCTTCACTTACTGGTCCCAGGAGAAGTTCCCTAACTCACACAAAGGCTCTCAACAGAAGGGCTCTGGGTACATCTCTCTTGTCCTGCACCTACATCAAGTTACTGGGGGAGCTTGTAGATGGTGCAGATGCCCAGCCTCAAACAACCTAGTGAAACAGATCATCAAGCGAGGTCTAGGAACCTGTGTCTTCAAGCATACCAGGTGATCCTTAAGGCCAAGGAGTCATTTCCAATCCACCTTTGATCCTCAGGCCCCTTTGCACAGGGCCAGCTAGAGTCAGTTATCCATCAGTGCTCACTAATGCATGAATGAACAGGTCTGAGAAAGCACTTTCTAACTCTCAGCTGGGACCAGGTCGGGCTCCATTCAAACTGGTTTCCATTGCTCACTGTGAAGCAGGATCCAACCTATTTGCTGGCCACAGGGCTCTAGAGTCCAAGACTTTGACTTGAGCTTCAGTTCTATCACTTAGTACCATCTGGTTGGTCTTAGGCACAGGACCAATCTGCTTTAAGCCTCTGTTTCCTTCTCTGCAAAATGGGGATGGTGACAACTACTCCCTTGAAGGTATTGCTGCGAGAAGGTGTTTGCTGGCGATGGGGCAAGCAGTCCATAAATGTGGGCTTCTATTGTTTTTATTATTGTTATTTTTGTTAATTGTGTCATTATTGTTCCAAACGTATTTTATTTTGGAAAATCGGTAACACCCAGTACACACATGATAACTTCTTGGTAAACTGCAACAGATGTATCTTGCATAACATTAAAGAACTACCAAGACTGAGCATCATAAATGAGCTCAATCGGCTTAACCACAGATGGAACTTCCTACTGGGAGGATCGGAGTGGAGCCTTCCTTTCTGCTAGCCCCCTCTGAATCTCCTTCACTGGGCTTTCTAAAACCACCCAAGGAGAGCTGATAGGAAAAGCTGTTTTCCCATCAGGCACTAGCCTGATGATATCATCAGTTTCGAAAGGGCCAAAAAATACAGCAGACTCAGAATGACCTCCTCACCTTGCTGGACTTATGGTCCACGTTAAAAGTGGCGATAACCCCGTCTGTCAACTCCCGTCCCTCTCGAAGCACCATATACTCAGACAGCCGGTTGGCCAGGTAGGTTTTCCCAGTGCCACTGGGACCAGAGAGAATGATCCGACGGTGCTCTATCAGGAGGGAGACGTAGCGCTGCAGGATGGGCTTGGGAATCAAGGACTCAAACACCAGCGAGTCCAGGCTGTTTTCTGCGAGCCCTGCATTTGAGAGAGACAGGAAGCGTCTGAAGTGCTGTAGAAAAGGTAGCTCTCTGTGCTTGCCTAACTGGGACTGCCAAGACCTGAGGTTATTCCTTTCCTCGGCAGTCTACTCACCTGAGATTCCTGCACACCCAGGGACACTGGAAGCTGACAGCAAAGTGCTGCTGCTCTAGGAAGTCACCTCCCTGTTCATCAATGCCACGTGCTTCTGTCTCCTGTCTTGGCTAACTTCCCAGACTCAAACTCACCTTGAACATTTGGGCTCTCAGTCCCCATCTGTCCTCTGCAGAATTCATAAGGTTCTGGGTTCTATTTGCCTGTCTGGATTTACTATACTTACTACACACACACACACACATGCACACCTCTACTATACACACACACACACACATATATATACACATATATATTTACTATACATATGCTATGTATACTATACCTATGGCATCTGCCCAAACCAAACCTGAGTCCTGTCTATCACAACCCTGAGGTTGCCTCTTCACCCTACACCCTCCCACATGCCAGGTACCACTGCTATCCACACTAAGACGTGCCATGAAGGTAACAGCACTTTTATCTTTAAAAGGAAGAAGAATGCAAGGTGGGATCATTTGATTCTGGAATGTGAATACTGGCAGACCTAGCCTGAAAGCCTGAAATATTGTTAGCTGGGACTCTTGGTCCTCAACAACATCAACTGGAAACTTATCCTTTCCCTTTCCTATCTGGGACAATGTCATCAATCAAGGTAGTTGGCTTCACAAGAGGTATCTTTTGGATACTGTCTCTAAGAGAAGATCCATCCAAGGTTGGCTGTCCAGAACCTCAGGTCATTGTTTAAAAGCTACTCTCAAGAAACCAGCAGAATTAATGAAAAGTAAACTGAAGAGTATTTACTGTTTTGTAATAGCAAATTCCTTCTACATACTCAGTCACTGCTAGCAGATACCCCCAAAGCATCTATATGTTTGTTTCCAGTCTTCCCGCAATCACGTAACCCCTAAATGCAGTGACTCTTCCAGAATGAACATGACAAAGGCCCCCAGATACCTTATTTGCTAGGGACAAGCCTAACATTTTCCTGCTACTGAGCTTGATGTAGCGTACACTTGCTCAAACCCCATTGCAAAGTATGGAGTGTAGGGTCTCTAAATTTAATATTAATAAACACAGGAAAAAACCACTAGAACACCCTCTCTGTACATATATACTGCTCTGTTTCAGTCTTCTGCCATAAATCCCACAGGGAGTGACTATTTTGCCGATGAGCTCACTTCAGGAAATGCAAAGTCGAACCCCCTTCCCCGGGTACCACTGAAGTGAATCACTGCAGCTCAGACAACTCTTTCAGCTCAAATCTTTGAGTGGTTTTTAGTGCCTTGAAGTCATAAGTTTTAAATACTCTAGGAAAGAGAAGAGTCAGGTATCACTGAAAAATAAACCGAGCTGATCCCTTGAGGTGCTGAAACTTGATGTGTTGGCAGCAGCGACGGATCAGGGTCTGCAGAGGGGTGGCACGCTCCACTAGAGGAAGGCAGTCTTGTTACTTTCTAGAGAGGCTTGGCCTGGTCTCAGCAATAGGCCATTCCTTTTACCCCTCAGTCCCTTGTAATGCTCACCTGTAAAACCAGCAAGTGAACAAGGCACGCTTGGCAGGAGGGATGAAATGCAATTTGAACCCAGGACATAAAAGGCTCTCCTGAAAGGGTTCTTGTTGAGGACGATCGTTCCAATGTGTCTGGTACCCCTTCCTGCTTCCCCTCATGGTAGAATTCTTCTTTCCCATGGGGAGCTCATTCCTGGTGGTTCAAGTGGAACCGATCCAGCTCCTCCATCCACCCAAAGGGACAGGCTTGTGAGCAGGCTCGGACAAATCCTCTCCCTAGTCACAATGACCAATTCAGTGACGGGCATTTGACTTATAGTGGGCCAGAGTCATCCCTAGGAATTATCTGTTACATTTTCCCCAAAATCCCTCTTTCCTTCAGGTTCCTAAGCTAGAAGAAGGAATTGGGCTACCAGGGGCCCTTTCATCAACCACGTGCAAAGAGTTCAATAAATAAGCACAGCCGTGACGGGCAACGCTGAGGCAGGCCTTGTCCTGATTCACTGTCTGAGCACCTGGATCCAGCTGTGCTTGAGGTATGCTCCTGGATTGCCCAGAGCCATGAGCCCATACATTTCCTTTTTACCTGTAGCTACTTTTGAGTCTGTTTCTGTCACTTATAGTCCAAAGGCACAATTGTGGCATTTCACTTGCCAGCAGGAGAAGGCTGTGTGAGGCTTAAGCAGTATGTACCACTTGCCACCTGCAGAGCAAGATCTTAATTCCTGCTGATGGAAAATGGTGGGGTGCTTCTGGAAACTCTACCAACCAAGAAATACATCTTGCGTCAAACAACTGCAAAACTGCAGTCAAGAGGAGGGCCTTTCGGGGAAGAAAGAAATGGGACAACACAAAGAATGAGCCTAGTACAGTATTTATGAAAGTCTCTATTCAGGTAATCCATAACATATAGGAAATGATGCGGTTTTACAATCAAATAAATTTGGGACAGATTGGATTAAACAGCCTTTTTTTTAAAATTTTTTTTATTTTTATTTATTTTTTTGAGATGGAGTTTCACTCCTGTTGCCCAAGCTGGAGTGCAATGGCATGATCTCGGCTCACCGCAACCTCCGCCTCCCAGGTTCAAGTGATTCTCTGGCCTCGGCCTCCCTAGTAGCTGGGATTATAGACATGTGCCACCATGCCCGGGCAATTTTTTGTATTTTTAGTAGAGACAGGGTTTCTTCATGTTGGTCAGGCTGGTCTCAAACTCCCGACCTCAGGTGATCCGCCCACCTCGGCCTCCCAAAGTGCTGGGATTACAGGCGTGAGCCACCGCCTAAACAGCCTTTTTAACAGCAGGAGTTAGGACACTGAATGACAGAGCCTTTGATGTACCAGTGCACTCCTGTCCCCCAAACACAAATGGGGATAACGATGTAGCTTCCCAGAATTGCTTGGCAGTGAAGCTTTTTTTTTCCTGAGTGAACTTTGTGGGCCTAGAGTTCTAGGGAATGCACTGGCCTGGGGCTTAATATCGCTAGGTAATGAGAAACCGGAAGCTCTAGCAGCACCATGCGTGGGCACAAGCTTTAGCAGTTTCATCAGGATGCTCAGAGTGACTCCTGCAGCCTATAGCAAGTCGTGGTTTTCCCATCTGTAGAATGGGATTGCATCCAAAGCTTGCTGGCAAGAGTAATTCATCAGTATTGGTAAAGCCCTGTTGCCCAATAGGGTTATTAAGATTCCATCATCTCAGAGTCATAAGGCTAATGGGATCTTTTGTTAGATAATTGCAGCAATAAACTAAAATGATTTTGTTTCCTAAGGTGGTTGAAAAAGCAAAAGACGGTTCAACTTGCGTAGAGTAACTGTTGGAAGGGAGAAAAGCAGCCCACAAACATATGCACAAACAAAACTGTGGCCACAAGTGCCTCTGCCAAGTCACAAAATGAAAACTGTAATTCCTGAAAGCTCCGACCTCTGCAACCAGCTCAATTACCTTTCACAGTCACTGAGATGGTTGTGTTCTCTCCAACCAGATAGCCACAAGGAAGCAGCTCCGGTGTTTCGGAAGTGTTGCTGCGCTTGATTTCTCCAATGCTGTAGCCAAGAACACTGTCTGAATTCAGCCCTAGCTGACTCACTGGGTCGACATGAATGATGTATTCCTGGAAAAAATAAAAAATAAAGACTCCATCAAAGATGTGGCTAAAATCTGCCCATGACTCATGTTTTCATTGGGTGATTTATGATCATCTTCTCTTCTTTCTCAGATGTCTGAGTTGAAATTGAGCTGTGGGATGAGGGGGAGAAGAACTGACTTTCTAAGGGGATAATGCCCAAGTACCACAGGCCTCTTAAAATACAGATTTATTTGGTTAGGAGTGGAGAAAAAAAAAAAAAACTCCTAACAAGGTTGTGAACGTTTAGTCTGGATGAACCAAGCACGGAAAAGCCATGCTGCTTTTCCTAAGTTCAGCTAAAATCTTGAAGATATCAGGGCCTGTGAATGGTGCTGGAAAATTCACGAAAAAGTAATTTTGACAGGAAATCTCTCTTCCATTCCCTTCTTTTGGCTGAAAGATCATACAAAGAGATTAAAATGCAGGCTGCTCGCAAAAATCAGCTCTAGATCTTTGAGGAGGAAAATGTGTGTTTAATTTGGAAAGTGCTCCCTCTTAGTTGAGTGAACAAAAGGTTTTAGGTTAGTAAATGTAGAACTAAGGTCCATGTACTAGGAGGTGACTGCACGACTTCGGTGGAATCCCAGTAATAGGCCCTACGTGGTCTCATTTCCTCACTTACTATGATGCCAATGTGCCTCTTTTCAGCCCAAACTGGTATTCTAATCCAAAGATGTCCCAACTGCCCATCACCAGAGATATGTTTTTGGCCTAGGTAGGAGAATCGGTCCATCCTAAGCCATTCATACGTCTTCTCTGGTCTCATTTCTACAGGCTGGCTTACCAGGATGGGGAACAATCTCCAGTCAAAAAACAGAATTTTATCCGTATGAGGCTACTTGGATCTAGCTATTAGAAAGAAACTACAGTGTACTATTAGGTTGTTGCAAAAGTAACTATGTTGGTGCAATCACTTTTGCACCAACGTAATAGTTAAGTTAGGAGTTGAAGTCAGACCAACTAAACTAGACCAACGTGGTCTAATTCTAGATCCATGACCTTGAACAGCCCAACCTGACCCTCACTTTCTTCACCTTTAAATGGGGTAATATAAGGGGCTTGGCATAGTCTTTGGCACAAAAAACGTGGGCTACTATTACTACTCAGGGAATATGATTAATGAGCACTTATAATTGTTGACTCACTTCAGGACAATAGAAGAAATGTACCAAAAGCTTCCTTCAAATCACCATGTGTTTCAAGGTTCACCTTGGTACTCATTAGTTATTTATCCTGTGGCAAACACCCAATCTAATGATGTGATTAAAAAGAATAGAGAAATAAGTATGGCAACATCTTTGAGCCTGGCCATCGATCAGACATTAATGTCACTCATAAAACAAATCAAAGACTCTGAAGTGGTGGCACAGCATACCAGGCAAATCAGATCAAATCCCCCAAAATGAAGGCTAGAAATCTGATGTCTAAGCCCTGGCCACAGATTACATACTCCAAAACATATGTCCTAAGACACAATTCTAAGGTGAAGAGTTGGACATTAGCAATTCACTGTGAGAGGATCAAAGAGTTGCTCAAATCACACTCACTAGCTGGCCCACCACTGCAAAGGGCAGATGGAAAGAATTTGGCCGATCACCAGTCTGTACTTACCATCGTCCTTCCATTCCCTTGAGGGCCAGGGAACAAGTTCCAGCAACATAAAGATGTAGGGAAGGGCACAGGTCTGAGAAATGGCCAAGCTCAAGACATCAACCTCTCTTTGCCTCCCCAGGCCCGGATGCCCATGTTAGGTATTTTGCTGTAGCCGCCATCTTGAAACACTTACTTTGAACAGCCGTCTAACCACCCCATCGAGCACATCCCACTTCGTCTTGCCACTAACTCCAATGCAGCCAATAAGAAAGAGGTGTGGTCTGGAATCCTAAGGGTAAGGAAATGTACACAGGTGAAAACCAGGTGGATCTTTTCTGACTCAGTTCAGCAGAGGATTCATGTTGCCTTAGAACTCCGCCAATGGTTTGAAAGGGGAATAAAAGTCCTATTTGTATTAATACCAGGTATAACTTAGGTGGAAGTAATAGTCTTAATACCTTTCCCTGCTTTACTGCTAAAACAGCAGACCAAGAGTCAGGAAGAGAGGATTTCCTCTCTGGAATATGGAACCTTCTGCTAAGTAAATGTGTCAGACAGGGCATAAATCACATATTCCTTTTCCGGAACCCTCCACACCTGTCTAGCATCTTTGTCTTTTCAAACCTTGCTTACAAACTCACCTCTTCCAGGAAGACTTCAGTGATTAACCCCATCAGGCTCAGAGCTTAAACTGCTTCAGCAATTCTGTACATAACTTATATAATGATATATCCGGTACTAATTTATATTTAGTTTTAGGTATTTCTGTCTTATTTTTGCATATCAAGTTTATCTCCTTACTAGATCTTAAACATTGCCAGGACAAAATGTGTTTCTATTTTTTCTTCTTTCTTGTTTTTAAATAACATTTACTGTTTTTCTTCTTGTTAAAACTCAAAACATGCAACTCAGAAAACTAATAAAACTCTGGGAAGAATACTCTCAAAACAATCTTTTTCTAACTCTTTTGCACCTCTGTTCACAGGGCTTTGCATAGTGGCAGCTAATGAGATCACACTGATAAAAGAAAAGCTGATAGAACATGCCATTCTATTGGGTTTTAAATACCTTACATGCTCATAAGGACGCAGAGTCAGGAGTGTGGTTGGGCAGGGGCGGGGAAGATGACACATGGCAGCTAAGCAAAATCAGCAGAGAAAAGAGCACCAGTCTTGCAGTGAGATGATCTGACCCAAACACTTGTCCCTGGCCTCAAATAAGTAACGCTTGGGGTCTTGGGTTTCTTAATTATACAATGAGGATAATAATCCCTGGTCAACCAACCTCACCTGGACGCTGTAGTGATGCAGAATAATATAACTTTTGAAGGTGACTTGTAAACTTTTGTAAAATGTATGCTCTATCTGTTCATATTGACAATCACTAGAATAAACAGTCCACAAGGTATACCTGCATTTACTGTAAGAATGAGTGTCCCAGCAGGGCATGGTGGTTCACGCCTGTAATCCCAGCACTTTGGGAGGCCAAGGCGGGTGGATCACAAGGTCAGAAGTTCGAGACCAGCCTGGCCAATATGGTGAAACCCCGTCTCTACTAAAAATACAAAAAAACTAGTCGGGTGTGGTGGTGGGCACCTGTAGTCCCAGCTACTCAGGAGGCTGAGGCAGAAGAATCGCTTGAACCCAGGAGGCGGAGGCTGCAGTGAGTCAAGATCACACCACTGCATTCCAGGTGACAGAGCAAGACTCTGCCTCCAAAAAAAAAAAAGAATGAGTTTCTTCTGATAGTCCATCACTCTACTAGCTCCGTTTTGAAAATGGAACTATCTATTGTATCTTTCAAGGCTAGATGATGCTAATGGAAGTGCCAAAATCCTGAGCTTACCCCCTATCGTGAGGCTAGCAAGCCAGCCACAGAGTGGAATCCCCTAAGAAAGTTCTGGCTGTACATGCTTTGTTCTGCGGGTTCGCTAGCTATCTGAAACTACAATAGCATGTTGGCTAGAAATACTAAGAAATAACAAACAAAAAACTCAAGGGAAATTGAAATGGTGACTCATGAGGCCTTTCCACATTTATTCGAGAAATAGTCATTCAAAGCATCACTGGGCTTTAATCACTGGCTAAAATTCAGCTTTCAATGTCAACTCTAGCCCCCACCCCAAAATAGTCTCTGGCAGTGGTATAGACTCTGGAAGTTCCTAGACTTTGGAAGTGAATAGAAACCATACTAGCAAAACTCAGATTCTCCAGCCTTGGTGAGTCAGGATGCCCCACCAGTTCTATCTTCGGCCACCTGCAAGCTCCCAGGGCTTGGCATCTCCATCTCTTGATGTCTACCAAGATGTCTACTCTTGATGACTGATGACTGATAAAACTGGTGCTCTTGGTCTGCTGCATGTGGTCAGCTTATTTCTGTACGTTACATGCTAAATGTGCATAGCTGCCTCTGAAGTGCTTTGGGAATACATTAGATTCAGAAAGGCCCTTTCCAATGGATGTTAGCATTTAGTTAATTACATGAAAGTGAAACGTGGGACCATTTTTAGTATTCTTTATTAGACTTTCAAGCATACGAGAAAGGGAAGTGCCATTCACACACTTTACTTGTGTCAAAATGCTGCAAGGGATTAATTATGGTTAGTTAAGAGAAGCGTTAGTAGTATTTCCAAATCACCTTAGGCTCTGAGGTGATACAGGTTTTACAATTAGATCACTAAGCTAGGCAGTTCTACCTGGGGGAGGGACAGGCAGAGCAGGGAAAGGGATCCAACTAACCTCCTTCCACTTCATTTCCTCCTGAAAGCTGACAACTATCTTAACATGCCTGCCTCCTTCCTTCCGAGCCGAGCATTCACCAGTGTCATCCAGCAACATGTCTGCGAATGGAAAACATCAACAGCCTTAGGCACATGGGGACAGCAAAGCCAGCTTCCTGACACCCCCGTTGCTGGTTGGCACAGCAGTGGGACAAACAGGTGTCAGGGTGCAGGGGGTGGGCGGGTAGGGGAAGAGGAGAGGGCAAAATGGAGAATGCAGTCACAGAAACCAATGGTGGACCAACCAAGGAACCAGCAGGCTGACAATGCACCTTGCCGGATGGAAGTGCGAGGGAGAGACTCAACCAAAACAACAGCAACAGCAGCATCATGGATACAAAATAAAAGCATCAGCCTTAATATGCTTACAAAGAAAATCTAGATTGTGTTCACTGATGGTTGTGCCAGCCTGGAATCCATCCTGAAGACAGGAAGATCATAGACCAAGCCACTGCCCCGACTGGGACCTGCTACTATGGGGTTTGTGTACAGCATTCAGCTTGCAGGTCAGCCTCTTAAAATGGATCAAACAGAACTCAGCATGGTGGGCGAGGGGATCCAAGCTCAGGGCTTGGAGAATTTGGGGTGCTGGAGCAAAGCATGAGAGCAGTCTAACGGCTGGGTTCATGTTGGTAGCAGACTCACACCCAGACACATACACACCCCAAGTGCACACACGCCTGTTGCCTCTCCGTTTCATCTGTTGGTCTGCTTATTTTGGGGTTCTCACTTAGAGATCAGGGTGCCAGCTCTAGGTCCAGTCCCGCCCCCAAACCCTGTAGGCCACTCACCCAGGCTGGTTGACTCAGTGAGGTTCAAGCTGTGCTGGGAGAGGCCCATGGACTGCCTTGGGGAGGCAGAGATGGACACTTGGGAAGGAGCCCGGCTGCAGCCACTGCCTTGAGACTCTGACTTCAGCCGATCATTCTCAGCTTTCAGCTTCTCTATTTCACTCTGCAAAGAGTAATGGAGAAGCTCACTTAGTAGGCAGAAGTAATGTGAACAAGATTTTTCTGAAGGAAGGATCTGAAGGTTCCCCGCAGAAACCAGGCTGGTCTCCCACCCAAGGCGAACAACACCCTCAGAGAGATTCAGCAGTGTTTGCTGCCCCTGCTGTAGACACAAGACATGCTGGCAGGGGAGGTCCATCCACTCAGAGAACAGGCCTTTGAAAAGACCTCTGAAATGCTTCCCAGAGTCTGCTGCTTGAGGATTAAGTAAAAAAGAGTCTTATGATCTAAGAGGTTTGTGCAACTCTGACTTTTACAGGCTTCTTTCCTGCAGGACTTTTCAGAACGTTTAATGAGTTCCTCTACGCCATGAATCGAACAGAGGCATATGGTGTGCAGAATTTTCCAAATATATTTGATCAAGGAGTTCTCCTTTCATAGAGCTTCTCATGGAATGAGTGTTTCAGGGAACCTCCTTTGGGAAAACTGACTCCATTAAGGTCCTGGCAGACTCCAGAGGTATCTTTCATTCTATGAATATTCATGAAGAACCTACAATCTGCATGGCATTGGTGCTATGTTCAGAGAAAGGTATGCAAAAAGCCCAGAAGACCCAAATGTCTTCACTCCATGGCAGAAGGTGGGAGGGGCTGTAAGAACAAATCTATAAGAAGATTCAGATAAGGGCACTAACTCTCCAGCTGCAAGACTTGGACAGGCATCAGGCCGAGCATTAAGGGAAGGGTCTAACTTGGACGTGCAGAGGAATATTCCCAGTGGAGGGAACGATATGAAAGAGGGATGCAAAGATGGCAGTCAGCGACTCCATCTGGTTGGTGAGTAGATTCTGGGAAGAGGAGCTGGGGAGGGTGGTGTGGATTAACAGTGGAAAGGACCCTGTAGAAGGCCTTGAAGGCCAGGTGAAGGAGACTGCATCACATGCCACAGGCACCAGGGGAGTCACTAAAAGCATTATGTAAAGGAAGGGCATGGGTACTCTTATTCTTCCAAAAGATTGGTCTTTGAGCAATGTGTGGGAGGGAATGAAAAGAGATAAAGGCTGGGAAAGCGAGGGCTGCCACCAGATTCTGATGTAGCCCTTAGGGCTTAGTGGAGAGCAGCCTCTGGGAGCTCCTTCACAGACAGCCTTGAGCTCAGCCCATGCTACTGGGCTCTCACCTGCATCCTGTTCATGGCCTCCCGGAGCTGGTCCAGCTGGTGGGCAGAACTGAGAGCTTCTAAGCGGATGTCCGTCAGCTTCATCTCCTTGTCTCTCAACTCATTTCGGAGCTGCATGACGGTCTCAGCTTCACTATCCATGCATTCTGAAATCCTAGGGAAAGAGGAATGTTACTGATGAAAGCAGCTCCTTTTAGTCCCCTACTGACCACTGGTCCACGTCAATCATCAGGTTTGTTTAGCAGTAACTGTGAATAACCAGCTGCCTGGTGCTTCCTGGAGGTGATAATACCAAAAACACCTGAAAACAGATTTTATTCCTTCTCTACATTCTTTTTTTTTTCTTCTTTAAATTGGTTTATTTAGACCACCGATGTTTAAAATCATTGTTAATATAGTTGGATTAACATTTACCATATTATTTTCAATTTGTTGTCCTTTTTCTTTGTTCATATTTTTTTCTTTCACTCTTTTCCTGCCTTTTGCAGTTTCACTTTTTAAATTTTATTTTTATTTTTTTTTTACAGACAAGATTTCATTCTCTACATTCTTTCTTTGCCGAGCTCGGGCAATCAGAATGGCTTTGGTGTGCCTTTCAGCAAAATTCCAGTAATACAGGGAGAAGCAGGAGCTGGCAAAAGGGAGTAGTAACCTTCCAGTTTGATACCCCCTCCCCCACCATGTGTACACAGCTGAGCTTCCATGACACCACGTGCCCTTGAGTTCCAAACTGACTCAGAGAAGCAGGGTCAGCTATCTGTTTTAAAGATTAGAAATTCCTTTGTTAAACAACTGAGGGGTGATTTTTATTTGCCAAAATGGGTATGAAACCTAAAGATATGCATGGAAGGTGTTAATCTGTTCCTGATCACATTCTGAAAACTCACTCCCCTAAAAATATCTAGACAGATCAACCTTTTTTAGTTCCCTCAGCCCCCACACTGCTTCACACACTCAGGGCAAGAAGGGAAACCTCTTCAGGGAGTTAGAGAACAGACGGGATGGTGTGATATGCAAGCCAAAGTTGTATCTGAAAACTCGGCAACAGCCTGGCTAATTGTCTTCTTTTCTCTGCTGCACACCAGGTCAAGGTCACCATGGGACCCTGTTGAGTTCCTCTTTCTGAAGTGGTGGTTCTTCTAGGCTAGGCTCCTTAATTACTTAGGTTTGCTCTCCAAACACCTGGCAAATCAGCACAAAGTAGAAGATCATAAAAGTCATGATGAATTGCAACGTTAAGAAAGATAGGTCTCTTAAAAAAAATAGTTCTGTGAGTTTCATAGATCTTAGCATCTGGGTTACTGGGTGATCCAGAATAGAAAGCTTTGACATTTCTTGGACTGAAGACAGAAAAACAACCCCAAACACCCCCATTCTCAAGTTCATAAAGTTACAAAGCTGAAGCCGATTATGTCTAAAGGAGATGATGAGCATGTGGTCTCTCCAGAAATAAATGATCACACGAGTCTGCTCTCCAAGACCCAAGCGATGGGTTTGGGGCCAAACAAAACCTGACCTGTAAAACTGGGTGAGGGTGTGGAACTTTTATTTCCCAAAGGAAAATGATTTATAAAATTGTTAAAAGAGATGAAATTATATTTCAGGGGCAGAAAGAACTGGAAGAAAAATTTAACACTTGAATAGTCAAATGTTTTTGTTGCTCTTTTCTTGACCTGAACCTGAACTCTTTTGATTTGAGAGACACAGTAAAACCACCTTACGTTTTTAAAAGTTACCAGTCACCAAGGAAGATTTTTAGCTTCAAAATCTAATCCGAAAGAACTCCTGAAAATGATCTAATTATTTCCATCTCACACTTTTGAGAGACTGAAGCCAATAGATTTAGGACGAAAAGGGTGAGAGAGAAATGTCTTTAGAATTTGCAACATCCTTTCTTTCTCAGCTCTCTGTACTTTGAATAGACTGTGGCTTGTGAGGTTTACTGATAGAACCATGGTTTTTTTCTTCCTTTTTTTTTTTTTTTCCTTTGGCTTGGGAGGTTTGCAGGAGGAGCTTGCAAAAACTGGTTCTATCTTGAGAAGACTATATTTCTTGGTTTAAATGGAGTGTAAAGTCTGAACAAAATTCCACTGTTATCTCCTGTCTTAGCCAAATCATGTCCTACACAGATCTTGAAGGCTCAGATTCACCGCAGAGAACAGTCTGTTCTGGCTGACACCATGTGAGGCTGGTCTGTCCAGCAGTCCACGACAAGGCACCTTGCTCAAGTCATCTTCACCTGATCGGCACCCTTTTCCCAGAAAGCGCTCAGCAAGAGAGAAAATACCTTCTTGGCACTCACTTTGTGGAACATATCACATGGGTTACTTTGCAGAGCTTGGCTCAAACCCTTGACTATACAAATGGTAGCAAACTGAAATGAAGAAAGTCTGTGTTGGGAGGACTTTGTCCGCTATGCTCCTCCAGAATCAACCAGCTCTCAGAAACACACAACGATGAGGCCTCATGAGATGTCCTATAATGTAGACATGATGCTGAAAACACATTCTTGGCCGGGCGTGGTGACTCACGCCTATAATCCCAGCACTTTGGGAGGCTGAGGCAGGTGGATCACCTGAGGTTAGGAGTTCGAGACAAGCCTGGCCAACATGGTGAAACCCTGTCTCTACTAAAAATACACAAATTAGCTGGGTGGTGTAGCTGTGGTGGCAGGGACTTGTAATTCCAGCTACTCGGGAGGCTGAGGCAGGAGAATTGCTTGAACTTGAGAGGTGGAGGTTGCAGTGAGCCAAGATCGCACCACTGCACTCCAGCCTGGGAGGCAAGAGCGAAACTCTGTCTCAAAAAAAAAAAAAAAGAAAACACATTGTTTTGCAGCAGCCTTAACTAAGCTTGAGTCCCTAATCCTAATGCCCAAGACAGAGCCTTTTCCCCTAGGTCCTTCCCTGACTAGACTTAGGCTATATCACTGATAATTTCATTTCACTTAACATGTTACCTCTGCTTGGCTGCCGGCTCCTCGGGGACCAGAGTTATTCTCTGCATCATTTCTGGCATCTGATCACATTGACATAATGGGTACCTAACAAATGCTTATGGAATACCTAAACAAATGGGCTAGGCATTTGAAGTATATTATCCCATTTCCTTTGTACATTACTCACTCCATGAAGAGGTACTGTAATTATCTCCAGTTTTAAAATGGGGAGGCAGAGACATGGAGACAAACAGGTACAAGACTGCACTATTTAAAAATGATAGAGGCAGGTTCAAACCTGGCAGGACTGCTTAGCTCTAGAGCCTGTGTTCCTGAACTATACCCACTAGGTGCTCAATACATGCTTGTCCACTTCATAAACTGCTTACTGAAGCAATCTCATGTGTGTTTTTTCCTACTCAGTCCCTTAACTGTGATTCAAGCCTTTTTCCACTGTCTTATCCACAGTCAGGGCTGGTGGCATACCTAATTTTAAAATGCCTCGAGTGTGGGAAAACGTTGCCTTACCACAACTACCATTCCTTTCGCCCACAGATTGGGGAATTTCCTAAGCCCAACTCCTCTGCCTTTGCTTTTGTCTTTGAACTCCCTCTCACATCTAGATTTGCACATTCTTACAAACCCTTCAAGGTTGGAAATAAGCATTTTCTCTCAGCCTACCCTTTGGAAAACGAGACCAAAAACAAACATCTCCAGTGTGCATGGATGCTGTGGAATGTAAGAAAAGGGCTAAGGAGCCAGGAGTCAACCCCGCCCGATTCCTCTGGGGAAAATGGCTTGGAGGATAGTTCTGTCATGGTCCTGCACAGCTGAGTGCATCACCGCCTCTCTCTGCTCATCTTACTTGGCCGCCCAGCAGCATCTGGCCCTGTTCCTACTCCCTCCAGCAACCATTTCTCCTCTCTGCTCCCGGGTTTCCTCCCACCTGGCTGGCCGGCGTCTTTAACTCCCTTTCTGAACTTAAAATATCAGAGTGCACTAGAGCTCAGTCCTCTTGACCTCTTGTCCTCGTGCCCTCTGATCATCTTTGTCTTCATTCAGCCCCTTGGAGAACTCTTCCAGTTATCCAGCTTTCAACACCACCACTGAGTCTGTGTCACCCAAATCTATACCTCTAGGAAGTCCAGGCTGGTTGACCTGGATATGGATGTCTGCTGGGCATCTCGAATTTAATGTAACCAAAGTAGTGCTCTGACTCCTCACTCTGCCCTCATCTGTGTCTCCCACTCATCCCAGGTACTCAAGCTGTAAATCTAGGAATATCCCAGGATGACTCTCCTCCTTCCTTTGCACTCACATCTGATCCATCACCATACACTGTTAACTTTTCTTCAAGAACATATCCTAAATCCATCCAGGACTCACCACTGTCATCAGTCGCTCCTTCATTCCACCAAATATTTGAGTGCCTGCAAAACCAACAGAGTACCTACCTCCACGGAGCTTCTACTGTAGATCTGGGGTTGGGGTTGGGGACAGAGAACAAATAATCAAGGAAAACCTCTATGTCAGGTGTCTGGGGGCAACATGTGCAATGGGGAAAAATGAAGCAAGGGCAAAGGGACCATGGGGAGCACTGGGTCGTGGCGGAATGTTGGTTTATGCAAGTGAATGGGCAAGGCCTTATTCATTAAGTCACACTGAGCAGAGACCTAAGGAAATAAATATCCGAGGGAAGAGTGTACCAGGCAGAGGACAGAAGGGCACAGGACTTGAGGTGGAGAGTGTGATTGGAATGTTCAAAGAACAGTGGGCCAGAGTGGCTAGGAGGCCCTAGTGATCTCCCTTCCCCATATTCCTTACACACGGAACAGAGACTGATCTTTGTAAATTCAGATTATCTCATATTCCTGTTTCAAACTCCACCACACCCACCCATTATACATGAAATCGGATGCGAATTCACTTCAAAGCCTTGCATGTTCTAGGCCCTCACTATGTCTGTGGCCTCTTCGCATATGTGGGAAGTCACACTGTCCATCCCTCTCTCTCTTCAGACACATCAAACCTGTTTCTACATTAGGCTCCTTGTGTTATTTATTTCCTGGGTCAGGAAGACGGCCCTGCTCACTGGGAGGCTGTGGGGGCAGAGGCTGCTGTGTGTTCACCAAAGCCCATTTCCTCCTTCACTTCCTCCCCTGCAGGTGGCATGGCTTTGAGTCCTGGTCAGTAAACTGTGGGAAGAGGTGACGTAAGCCTCTTCCAGGCCTGGTCCTTAAAAACCCTCCTGCAGGCTCCTCTGTACTCCCCACACCCCCACGCCCACTGGCTGGACACAGAACACTGAGCAGAGGACTGGGCCCTATGGATGGCGGGGGCCTTATTGTCTACATCACTAGAGGACAGGCCACCTGCCGACTAGGACTATCTGCATTGGGTTTGGAGTGAGCAAGAAATACACAGTCATATGTAAAGCTGCTGAGCATCGGACTGAGTTTGTTACAGCAGCTAATGTTACCCGCTGAAACTAACCCAGTGGCTCCCCCGGCATGCAGATTCAGCTGAAGTGTCACCTACTCAGAGGGCTCTTTCCTGACCACCCCATCTAAAGTTGCTGCCAAGGCACTCTGTATCTCAGCACTGTTTTAATTCACAGCATTAGCCCTTAGAACTCTCTAATTTTCCTAGTTTATTCAGGATTTATTTGTTTAACATTCATCTCCTCTCTTGGTATACAGGGTCCATGAGTAGGAACTTTGTCTTGTACTCTGTCGTAACCACAACTGAGAATGGGACCTTCAGAGTGAAAGTTCAGGAGTGGAATGAACTGTACTATGTCATGTCTCCACTAGTATTTACTCTTCTCAGGGGTGGAGAATCTGTTCAACTTTTTTTTTTTTCTTTTAAATAGAGACATGGTCTCACTCTGTCACCCAGGCTGGAGTGCAGGGTGATCAGAGTTCACTGCAGCCTCAAATTCCTGGGCTCAAGTGACCCTCCTACCTCAGCCTCCCAAGTAGCTGGGACTACAAGCATGTAACACCATGCCTGACTGATTAAAAAAACTTTTTTTTGTAGAGACAGAGTCTCACTATGTTGACCAGGCTGGTTGCCAACTCTTGGCCTCCCAAAGCGCTGGGATTACAGGTGAGAGTAACTGCACTTGGCTTGGTTAATATCTTTTTGGTCTCTTCAGAACATCTGAAATAGTGTTCTGCTCAGGTTGCTATATAAAAAGTTTAAATCAATAAATAAAGAAGACATGATGAGTTCCTTTTTCTCCTGGTCAGGAGACAACTGAATTGGGATGCTTTGGAATGATGGCATGTGTGAGAGTCACAGGCAACTTGTTCTTTACTCCTTCCTTAGGCACTCTGCAGATGGAGGAGGACACACCCTCTCAGTCATTTGTCTAATTCGTCACTCAAAATAACACAGAGCACTGGGCTGGGCACTACAGGGACAAACCGAAGTCCAGTCCCTCAGTGTCCTTCTTCCTTCCTCCGTTCAGTTTTACCTCACCCATAACAGTAGGCAGTACACATCCCTGTGGCTACCTCTTACTAGGGTGCTCCCCCCAAAAACAGGAATTGATCATCTAATTCAGTAAAGTGGAGACCCTGACAGGGCCATGTTTCAATAATGGGTGAGGTTGCTTAAAAGTCATAACCCCGGTTGGGTGTGGTGGCTCATGTCTGTAATCCCAGCACTTTGGGAGGCCGAGGCAGGTGGATCACCTGAGGTCAAGAGTTCGAGACCAGATTGACCAATATGGTGAAATCTCGTCTCTACTAAAACTACAAAAATTAGCCAGGTGTGGTGGTATGCACCTGTAGTCCCAGCTACTCGGAAGGCTGAGACAGGAGAATTGCTTGAACCCAGGCAGCAGAAGTTGCAGTGAGCCGAGATCATGCCACTGCACACCAGCCTGGGCAACAGAGCAAGACTCCGTCTCAAAAACAAAAACAAAACAAAAAAAGGTCAAAACCCTACTATCCTCTGTTTCTTCTCTTCCACTTCTATGCAGTTGGTGTGCTACAAAGACCTGGCCTCTGAATAGGCTGATTTTGCCTGTATTCCCTCTACCCTTCTGGTAAGCCGCTAAGGCAGGGCCTTAGGACAATTATGCTATCTTCAGTGGGCTGGCTGGTTAAGTGGACTTAGGGTCAGCTCCACAGACCTGGCCCCCTGAGAATGAAGAAAGAAGGAACAGGATGGAAAAGGCACTTCATGCATAGTATTTAACTTGACCCTCCCAAGAATCCAGTGAAGTAGATATAATGAACCCTATTTTTACTAGTGAGGAAACTGAAATTTATACAATCAAACTTCTTTCTCTAACCCTATCTCAGTGGCTGTCCTGACCCTGGCCATGACTTCCCTCTTCTCCCAGGCACTGTCTCATCTCGCTGATAACTTTCCTTGCAGACTACCTGTGCTCTAGTCCTTTAATTCTAGACTTGGTATACCATGGTCTCAAAAGAAATTCAGCCCTACTGGGCAGGGCCAGCCTTTCTTACCGCTGCAGGAAGCAAGCTCCTTATATCAATTTATCTTGTTCAATTCTTAGGGCTAGGATACAAATACAGAAACCAGTATCCCAAATTGACCTTCCATAAAGGTATGGAAACAAAGAGAACTTAAGTAACTTGCTTAAGGCCAACCAGCTAGTTACAGACATTGACATCACCAGAACGAAAACCTAAGTTTCCTTTCTCTTTCAACTTTCCCAGTCCTAAAGCATTGAAAGAACATGCACAGTCCTATTAAAGCAAAGCATAAAGGATCCCAAGGAGCAGATGTGTCATAACAGGACTCCTAGCCATTCCTATTGGAGAGGGTTCTCAGGGGCCAAAGATGTTATCTGACTAGACAGACAGACTTACAGGGAGTTGGAATGAGAATTCCTCAGCAGTGGGGTGGAACCTGTGGACCCGTTGTGTGGTAACTTTGGTGAGGAAGGCAAAGAAGAATCCGTCATCTCCTCAATGTCTGAATGAGAGGACGCAGATTTGGGGGACTTCTTCTTCCCGAAAGCTTGCTTGAAGGAGCTGCGTAACTGAATATATAAGACTGTCAGTCTCACAACGGGGGCAACCAATGCTTAGGCCTTGGCAAAACAGAGACATGCACACAAAAAAGCGATTAATTCTCCCATGTTTTTTCCCCACCAATGGAAGAAGTTCCCAAGAGCTCTTTTGAATCAGTGCATTAAGGGAAGAAGAGTTATCTGGTGTTGCCAGCTTGAGGGACTGCACCTGTGGGTAACATTCCATGCCTACTCTTGGTTCAAGACTAGATGCCAACAGCAAGACAGAGCCTGGCTCAGCAGATGGATGTTGGGAAGATGAGGTTACACAGCAACAAAGCAGGATGCTCAGACACGGTGAGGGATGCGGATGAGGTTAGTCGTATCAATGGATGGGTTAGCTTGGTATCTGATATTAAAGTCGGTCTTGCTTACCTCATTGACCTGCCAGAGAAAACGCAAGCAAAAATGGGGAAGGGGGAGGAAAAAAGACAATTTTTTAACAGAGAAAGCCAGTGACAGGGAAAGCTTCGGACTTTCAGACACAACAAGGCTAAAAATAAACACCACACACAGGGGAGGTTTCCAGTAGGAGCACAAATCTTTAAAAGCATTGAGGTCATGTTCCTTCCTTCTGAAAGGGAATAGCAGGTTGGGGAGTCCTCTACAATTCCAGTTCTTCCAGCTTTTCCCTGTCTGGCTGAAATGGCTGCCTCCCACATTCCTGTGCTTCTCATTCTCTTCTTTTCTCTTGTCAGTCACCTCTCTGTGCCTTAACTTTTTGGAGAGGATGTCTTCTTTTTTGAGCAATTCTAGCTTCACTGTTACACTGGCCCTGGATGGCTGCATAGCTCCTTAAACTATCCACTTAGGAGTTTCTGCTATTTGTGTATATAAGAAGATAATCTAATAAGCAGTAAATTAGCCGTCTCACTTGTTACTCAGAAAATGGTTAAAGAAATATATTAACCATACGGGAGGAAAAGGAACTAGTATATTACAGTTTCCCCAAATCACGAGATGGACCTGAAAATTCTTTTCCCCCTCCTCTGTTGCAGGAAATGGAGACCTAAACATTTTAATGAGAACATAAAGAATTAAAATGCAATGTCCTTTCTGAACGCCATAATCAGATTTTTCTAGGCCAAAAACTAATGTTTCATCTTGAAAAAAGCCCTTTTAAAAGTAATTTCCTTTTCCTAAGGTCTTTTTTCCTTGTGAAAATATATTCCAGTGGTTTTCTTAGCCATTGAAAAATTCAGAAAACAGGTCATTCTAAAAATTGATGAGATTTTTCTCCCATCAACAGGTTTCACCTATAATAAACCGCATGTCCAGCTTGTAGGCAAATCTAGATCCATTTCTCTCCCATTTCCTACTTCTGATCATATTTCCAGAGAGCAGTCACAGAAACAGAAGGATTAGGGACACAAGCCATCAACTGAAATCCTTGCCTCTACCTCTGGTGAAAAGCCAGGTGGAAGAGGAGATTACGAAGATCAGACAGAGTTAAGCTTTGGGATTAGCCGAGGATGCCAATTATCCATTTTCCCTGATTTGACTGATAACCAGGAGTTGTCTTAAAGCAACATAAGCAAGCTTTATTTCTTGAAGAAAATGGAATAACCACTATTTTTCACAGAAAATATCTCTCTTGTCACTTTGAAAATCAAAGCAGACCATGTTTATCAATTGCATATTAGAGACAGCAATATGAATAAATTCTATCTGTGTTTAGTCATAACTAATAAGTTGACTAAAAGCCATTAGTAACTTAAACAAGAAAATTTACTCAGAATAATGAAAGGGTCACACTAAACTGGCTTTTTAGCTTGCTTCCAATGCAAGTCATTGACAACCAAAATTACTAAATCCCTGACATCTGTATCACCAGACCTCGCCACCCATCCAAGATAACACAAAATGAGTGAGAAGTGTACAGAATGAATGAGGACACCGAAGCTACTAGTGAAACAGGATGCTGTCAGCACAAATGGGGACCAGGGGCCACTGGTCAACTCTAGATCAACTTGGGATATTCTTGTACTGAAGATAAGGGATAGCAAATCTCAGTCAGAGTTCTGTAGCCTTAAAAGAAGAACTAAAAAACTGGATGGAGACTAGGGGGTGGAATTTTTCCAGGAGAGTGGAAAAAAACCACTCAAGGCACCACTGTACAGAAATTCAAATAACTCATTGGGATTATGAATACATGGAGAAACACTATAATAGAGACTGATTCTATAACTTGCTATTTGAGGTACAACCCCTGATTTAGAACTACTTGCTAACTTCTAACACTGACATTAGTAAACTTTTCTTTATAGGACATGGTCAAAAAGCTTTCAAAGAGAGGGTTGGTTTGATACTATCCCTTGGCATTTTTGTAAATAAATAGATAAAGACTTACGGCTAAAGATGGGATAACTAGCAATATGCTCAAAAAAATATTTTGGACCTATGAAGAAACCATTTAAGAATAACTTTGCTGTAGTACCTGAAACTTTGTGGCCAACATATAATGAGGAGGAAATGACACATACATGAAATGAAAGATGAGTACTTTATGAAAAGTCTCATGAAAGAGAAAAAAAAAATACAAGGTGGTAGGGATGTTATAGACGCTAGTGTTTTGCTGAGTATAATACTGATTTTAGTAAAAACCCATCCACAAAGCATTTCCTGGGATCTACTCCCAAAGGGCTATGTTCCACAGATAGTAGCTGGGCTGGACTTTATCTAGGGGGGATGCAGCAGCCAGTTCTGCAACTGACTCTGTCCGTCAGTCCCCAGGAGAGTGGGTGTGCACTCACCCAGTTCTTCCTCTTCTTCTTCTTTGAGTCACTCTCTATGTTGCTGCCCACGCTGGAGTGGCTGGTGGCGCTGTTGATGCTGGAGACGCTGTCTGAGGAGTGCTGCCTGCGGATGCGGAGGTCTGCAGACTGGGCAGTGCCATTTCCTGGAGACCAAGGCAGGGTGTATCAGCGGCTGCCAATCTGAGCCCTATTCTTTATCTCAGGATTTTGCCCTTTAAGCAAAACCCACCCACCTGAGGACTACTAGGTGTTTTCCACATAGACATCAACTCTGTTCCCTACAGTTGTTTCTAAGATCCTTGAATAGGTGAGTGCATTGCCCTCTTTGGTCAGTTAAATGAGGTCTATCTCTCCCCACTTTACAAAACAGAAGTCAAGGCAGGTGTAGGGAGAATTTCCCCAACACCAGCTCTTAAGCTTTAGATAGGTGTGGAAACGTGCTTATGAACTGAGCAGTCGGCACCTTCATTGCTAGCCCCCTCCCTCTCCTGCTCTCTGGGATCCTGTCACAGCGGCCTTCTTGCAGCCCTTTGGAAGTGCTATGCCTGCCTCATCTAGGGCCCTTCCACATGGGTATTCTTTTTCCTTGACTCTGTCTGGATATTCCTCCATCTGGAAATTCTTTTTCCTTGACTCTGTCCAGCCAACTGATTTGTAAATCCTTCCCCTTTCTAAAGCTATTATCACTTTTTCAGGAGGCCTAATACACAAAACAACACAGACATTGAAAATGTACGATATCTGACATAAAGTCTGCAGATAGTTTTTCTCATGAGGAGAGAACTAAAGGCTGGTCTTTGAGAACACTGGTTGTAGGGGCAAACCGACTCATCAGGTTCTAGCCCCACTTCAGTTTCTCCCTAATCCCTGACCTCAAAAAATGACTCTAGGCCAGGTGTAGTGGCTCATGCCTATAATCCCAGAACTTTAGGAAGCCAAAGCAGGCAGATCACTTGACGTCAGAAGTTCGAGACCAGCCTGGCCAACATGGTGAAACCCTATCTCTACTAAAAATACAAAAACCAGCCAGGCGTGGTGGCGCATGCCTGTAGTCCCAGCTACTCACAGGAGGCTGAGGCAGGAGAATCACTTGAACGTGGGAGGCAGAGGTTACAGTGAGCAGAGATCACGCCACTGTACTCCAGCCTGGGCAACAGAGTGAGACTCCATTTCAAGAAAAGAAAAAGAAAGTGACTCTCATCTATGAACACTAGTGTCCTCATCAGAACAATGAGGGAAGAACAGAATCACACTCACAAGATTGTTGTAGAAAGAAAACCAGATAATGAAATCACTGAAACACTTAGCACTGCACATAGTAAGTGTTCCATAAATCCTAGCTCTCCATATTACTTCTATGATTACTATTACTGTTAACATTATTATTATGAGAGCTAACTCACCTGCACTCCTACATTACCCCAAGATACACAAGGACAAAAATAATTCGCTTAGAAACGTTTTCCTGGGCTGGGCGTGGTGGCTCATGCTTGTAATCCCAGCACTTTGGGAGGCCGAGGTGGGTTGATCCCTTGAGGCCAGGAGTTCAAGACCAGCCCAGCCAACATGGCAAGACCTGTCTCTACTAAGAATACATAAATTAGCCAGGCATGGTGGCACATGTCTGTAATCCCAGTAACTTGGTAGGCTGAGGCAAGAGAATTGCTTGAACCTGGGAAGCAGAGGTTGCAGTACACCAAGATTGCACCGCTGCGCTTCAGCCTGGGTGACAGAGCAAGACTCTGTCTCAGAGAAAAAAAAAGAAATCTTTTCTTGGGCAAATAAGGCAGGAACTCAGTTCAGCTTACCCCATATATCAGCGTGTAAATATTAAAGTGCTAGTGAAATTAAGGGTTGTAAAACACTTTAACGCTCTGCCAATAGAAACATATTTTCTTCCATTTTTCAGATATATCAGAGAAGAGGATGAACTACCATAGCCATCTTCATAGAGGCCAGAAGTGACTTGATTAAAGGTGTTTGCCTTCCAGGTCCTGCCCGCCTGACATGGAGCTAAATTATGCAGACACTGTCTTCCAGTAAGGAGGTTGCATCATAATATATCAGGGGAGGGCGCCTAAGGGCAGGCAGATCTTCTGGCTAAAGGCTGTTTCCCTTATTTTACCTTTGCAGTTGAGCTCAGGTGTGTTAATTACTCCATTAATGGCAGCCTGGGCAGCTGCATTCTGTTTCTTTAGCAGCTCAATGGTTTTTCTTAACTCATTCAGTTCTGAATCCTAGGGAACAGAAAAAATTATCGGTCAGTCTAAAATAATTCTGTACAGAGTTCAACTGAAGTACAACTTAGCTTCAACACAGGAGGGGAGGGAATGGAGTAGCTCAACAAAACCTTTCAGATGGATCAACATGCATGAACAAACACATAAGAAGAGGATTATAACTACAAGATCTATCACTGATGCCATTATCACTCAATCTGTCATATTTTCACTCAACAGCTTGGACTCCTTACAATTAAACTTTAACAGTTTAAGAAGTACATTAACATCCATACAATGATCTGAAATGAAAGAACAGTATTTTCAAGTATGTTGTTAACTCCAAGTAGGGAAGGTAAAAGTATCCTTTCTGCCTTACCTTCTGCTCGGCTGTCATGGTCAGACTCTGGAGCCTGATTGTCATGTTACCAAGACTCTGTTCAAAGGCTGCCACAAGGTGAGCCTGGAGGGGAAGACACAGTTTCAGTTATACTACCTTGCAAGGCAAGAGTGCTTAGAAGGTGCCTGGCTCTTAAAGATGAAAATCCTGTGGGTCCACTTGATCTAGGCTACTTCTTCAGCCTCCTCTTGAATCCCACTCCTTACCACTCTTTGGGATCCAGTCACTTCAGTCTTCTACTTGCTCAAACACCCCGTGCTCCTTCCCAACTTAGGGCCCTTGTACATCTTTTCCCGTCTACCTGAAATGCTCTTCCTCTCAATCCTTTCTCCCATTCCTTGCCTAATAATTTTTACCTGTCTGTCTAAAAAGTTCTCGGCTTGTAGCTTCAAGACACCCTCATATGCACTCTCACAAGCAAATTGTACTTCGGATACATACTTTGAGATATCACAATTAAAAATACATGCAGTCTTGTAATTGGTAATGTATGTCTGCCTTCTGTACTACAATGGAGGATGATCTTCTGTTCACCAAGTGCTAAGCTCACAGTAGAGGCTCATATTAAGCATGTTAGTAGAATGAACAAACAAAATGGTTGGCATAGTTTGCTTGTTATAATCCTGGTTAATAACTGAAAGGCCCATCTGCTACCTCCTTGGAGAAATGTTTCCCAGTTCCTCCAGGGCATTACCACTTTCCCACAGGCTTTCATATAGTTTTATATACTTCTGTTAGAATATGACATAAGATGTACCGTTACATCTTAGAAATAATTTCTAAGAATTTTTAAAAATGCTTCCAGTTATAAGTAAAATAGCATCTAATTTTCAGAGATGTTAAAATACAAAAAAAAAAAAAGAATAAGTTTACGAATTGGGAAATGTGGCATTTTCCTGACTGCCACTTCCTCTGCAACTCTCTTCAAGGGTAAGAGGTAACTTTGTGCCCCAACACTAAGCTTTTGCCTGTGACACAGAGTAGTAGATGATATATTAGTTGATTGAATGAGAATCCTGGTAATGTTATTAAAACCAAAAATACAGAATGGAGCTGTTTCAAACAGTCATGCTAAGAAATTTACAGTAATAGACTGAAGAATCCATTAGGCAGCTAGGATCTTCTAATCTCCAATCTCTACTTGTATAATGGAATAGTGGCATGTCCAAGAGTGAGAGGCATTTGGGCAGCAGATGAGAAGGATCACCAGATAGTGCACTTGATGAGGGCTGACACCATGTCTATCTTGCTCCTTACTGTATCCACACTGCTGGTACAAAAACAGCCACTCAATCATGTATGTTGGATGAGTGATTAAAGGACTGAAAAGAAAAGCACTTAGATGAAGGAGGAAGTGTAGTACAGGGGAAGGGAACAGGATTTAGAGTTAGAGGTCTTCAGCTCTCCCTGTAGTTCCTTCTGAATACTCATAACACTGAGCAAATCACGTAATCCTACTAGCCTCAGCTTCATCTATGAAATGGTACCAATATCTATTTTCCCCCCAGGGTTATTTTCACCTAAATGAAACAAGACCAGTGAAAATGGTCTATGAACTGTTCAGGTAGTGCAAAACACAGGAACGCATGGACACTTGTGGGGAAATAAGGAGGTTTGGGAATGAGAAAGTGACAAACTATGAGAGGAGTGAGAGTACCTGAGAACACAGGAGCAGAGACGGGGAGTAGAAACAGTGGGCTACAAGAGGGATGAGAAGGGCAGAGGATACATGCGAGAGGTGAAATTTGATCATGCTGTGAAATTTGAGAGGAGGAGATGACTGACGCACAGAGTGAGGTATCAACGCTGGATAAGCATCAGGGGTGGGTGGGAAGAAGCTATTGCTGTGCACTGTGAGGAGGCACAGTGACATTTCAATCTAAGCAAAGATGTGAGGGGTAAAGAGAGGCCTGTTATTAGACTTCATCAAAGAGTGATGGCGGAGGCTAAGACATCTCTAGAATCAACTGCTGGCAGGGAGCATTTCTATTTGTAGCAGTAATGTTAAGTGGAATAGTTAGCTTCTCTCTGATTGCACTCCCTCTCTCTATTAAAAATGGAGACAGGCCAGGCATGGTGGCTTACGCCTGTAATCCCAGCACTTTGTGAGGCCAAGGCAGGCGGATCCTGAGGTCAGGAAATTGAGACTATCCTGGCTAACATGGTGAAACCCCGTCACTACTAAAAATACAAAAAAAAAAAAAAAAAAAAAAATTAAAAAAAGAAAAGAAACTAGCTGGGCATGGTGGTGGGCGCCTGTAGTCCCAGCTACTTGGGAGGCTGAGACAGGAGAATGGCGTGAACCCCAGAGGCGGAGCTCGCAGTTAACTGAGATCGCATCACTGCACTCCAGCCTGGGCGACAGAGCGAGATGAGACTCTGTCTCAAAAAACAAAACAGAACAAAACAAAAAACAAAAACATGGAGACAGTGCCTCTGCACTGTAAAATAAAGAGATATGCTTTACTTTGCCCTGGAAAGTGTGGCAAAACCAAAGCCAATCAATTTAAGACAGTCACATAGTTGACAAAGGAAACAGGCCAGGGCCTCGATGTCTAAAAGAACATTTGCTAACCTCATATTGCAAATGAATGACAAAGCTAAGTGTAAATGACTGGATTTCCATTGATTTCAGTTCTGCATCTGATTGTCATCCATGACTCCAGTTATGGGCATTCCTATTGCAAAAAGGCTAAATGCCCCAATAATAATAATAATAAAAAAAGCAGAGTTGCAATCCTAGTCTCTGATAAAACAGACTTTAAACCAACAAAGATCAAAAGAGACAAGGCCATTACATAATGGTAAAGAGATCAATGCAACAAGAAGAGCTCACTATCCTAAATATATATGCACCCAATACAGGAGCACCAGATTCATAAAGCAAGTCTGTAGAGACCTACAAAGAGACTTAGACTCCTATACAATAATAGTGGGAGACTTTAATACCTCACTGTCAATATAAGACAGATCAACGAAACAGAAAATTAACAAGGATATCCAGGACTTGAGCTCAATTCTGGACCAAGCAGACCTAATAGACATCTACAGAATTCTCCACCCCACATCAACAGAAAATACATTCTTCTCAGCACCACATTGCACTTATTCTAAAATTGACCACATAATGGGAAGTAAAACACTCCTCAGCAAATGCAAAAGAACAGAAATCATAACAAACAGTCTCTCAGACCACAGTGCAATCAAATTAGAACTCAGGAATAAGAAACTCACTCAAAACCACACAACTACATGGAAACTGAACAACCTGCTCCTAAATGACTACTGGGTACATAAAGAAATTAAGGCAGAAATAAAGATGTTCTTTGAAACCAATGAGAACAAAGACACAACATACTAGAATATCTGGGACACATTTAAAGCAGTATGTAGAGGGAAATTTATAGCACTAAATGCCCACAAGAGAAAGCAGGAAATATCTAAAATTGACACCCTAACATTACAATTGAAAGAACTAGAGAAGCAAGAGCAAACACATTCAAAAGCTAGCAGAAGGCAAGAAATAACTACAATCAGAGCAGAACTGAAGGAGATAGAGACACAAAAAACCCTTCAAAAAAATCAATGAATCCAGGAGCTGGTTTTTTGAAAAGATCAATGAAATAGATAGTTCACTAGCCAGACTAATAAAGAAGAAAAGAGAGAAGAATCAAATAAGATGCAATAAGAAATGATAAGGGGATATCACCACTGAACCCACAGAAATACAAACTACCATCAGAGAATACTATAAACACCTCTACATAAACTAGAAAATCTAGAAGAAATGGATAAATTCCTGGACACATACACCCTCCCAAGACTAAACCAGGAAGAAGTTGAATCCCTGAATAGACCAATAAGAAGTTCTGCCATTAAAGCAGCAATTAATAGCCTACCAACCAAAAAAAAGTCCAGAACTAGATGGCTTCACAGTCAAATTTTACCAGAGGTACAAAGAGGATTTGGTACCATTCCTTCCGAAACTATTCCAAATAATAGAAAAAGAGGGAATCCTCCCTAACTCATTTTATGAGGTCAGCATCATCCTGATACCAAAATCTGGCAGAGACAAAACAAAAAAAGAAAATTTCAGGCCAATATCCTTGATGAACATCAATGTGAAAATCCTCAGTAACATATTGGCAAACCGAATCCAGCAGCACATCAAAAAGCTTATCCACCATGATCAAGTTGGCTTCATCCCTAGAACGCAAGGCTGGTTCAACACACGCAAATCAATAAACGTAATCCATCACATAAACAGAACCAATGACAAAAACCACACGATTATCTCAATAGATGCAGAATAAGCCCTTGACAAAATTCAACAGCCCTTCATGCTAAAAACTCTTAATAAACAAGGTATTGATGGAATTTATCTGAAAATAATAAGAGCTATTTATGACAAACCCACAGCCAATATCATACTGAATGGGCAAAAACTGGCACAAGACAAAGATGCCCTCTCTCACCACTCCTATTCAACACAGTATTGGAAGTTCTGGCCAAGGCAATCAGGCAAGAGAAGAAAATAAAGGGTATTCAATTGGGAAAAGAGGAAGTCAAATTGTCTCTGTTTGCAGATGACATGATTGTATATTTAGAAAACCAGATCATCTCAGCCCAAAATCTTCTTAACCTGATCAGCAACTTCAGCAAAGTCTCAGGATACAAAATTAATATGCAAAAATCACAAGTATTCCTATACACAGACAAACAGAGAGCCAAATCATGAGTGAACTCCCATTCACAATTGCTACAAAGAGAATAAAATACCTAGGAATACAATTTACAAGGGATGAGAAGGATCTCTTCAAGGAGAACTACAAATCACTGCTCAAGGAAATAAAAGAGGACACAAACAAATAGAAAAACATTCCATGCTCATGGATAGGAAGAATCATTATCATGAAAATGGCCATACTGCCCAAAGTAATTTATAGATTCAATGTTATCCCCATCAAGCTACCAACAACTTTCTTCACAGAATTGTAAAAAAAACTACTTTAAATTTCATATGGAACCAAAAAAGAGCCTGCATAGCCAAGACAATCTTAAGCAAAAAGAACAAAGCTGGAGGCATTACACTGACTTCAAACTATACTACAAGGCTACAGCAACAAAAACAGCATGCTACTGGTACCAAAACAGATATACAGACCAATGGGACAGAACAGAGGCCTCAGAAATAATGCACACATCTACAACCATCTGATCTTTGACAAAACCTGACAAAAACAGGCAATTGGGAAAGGATTCCCTATTTAACAAATGGTGTTGGGAAAACTGGCTAGCCATATGAAGAAAGCTGAAACTGGATCCCTTCCTTACACCTCATACAAAAATTAACTCAAGATAGATTAAAGAATTAAACCTAAAATCTAAAACCATAAAAACCTTAGAAGAAAACCTACCCAGTATCATTCAGGACATAGGCATGGGCAAAGACTTCATGACTAAAACATCAAAAGCAATGGCAACAAAAGCCAAAATAGACAAAAGGGATCTAATTAAAGAGCTTCTGCACAGCAAAAGAAACTATAATCAGAGAGAACAGGCAACCTACAGAATGGAAGAAAATTTTTGCAATCTATCCATCTGACAAAGGGATAATATCCAGAACTTAAACAATTTACAAAGAACTTAAACAAATTTACAAGAAAAAACAAACAACTCCATCAAAAAGTGGGCGAAGGATATGAACAGACACTTCTCAAAAGAAGACACGCAGCCAACAAACATATGGAGAAACGCAAATCAAAACCACATGAGATATCATCTCATGTCAGTTAGAATGGCAGTCACTAAAAAGTCAGGAAACAACAGATGCTGGAGAGGATGTGGAGAAATAGGAACGCTTTTATACTGTTGGTGAGAGTGTAAATTAGTTCAACCATTATGTAAGAGAGTATGGCAATTCCTCAAGTATCTAGAACTAGAAATACCATTTGACTCAGTGATCCCATTACTGGGTATATACCCAAAGGATTTTAAATCATTTTACTAAAGACACATGCACATGTATGTTTACTGTGGCACTGTTCACAATAGTAAAAACTTGGAACCAACCCAAATGTCCATTAATGATAAAGTGGATAAAGAAATGTGGCACATATACACCATGGAATACTATGTAGTCATAAAAAAGGATGAGTTCGTGTCCTTTTCAGGGACATGGATGAAGCTGGAAACCATCATTCTCAGCAAACTAACACAAGAACAGAAAACCAAACACTGGATGTTCTCACTCATAAGTGGGAGTTGAACAATGAGAACACATGGACACATGGAGGGGAACATCACACACCAGGGCCTGTCAGGGGGTTGGGGCAGGGACCTAGCGGAGGGATAGTATTAGGAGAAATACCTAATATAGATGACGGGTTGATGGGTGCAGTAAACCATCATGGCACGTGTATATCTATGTAACAAGCCTGCACATTCTGCACATGTATCCCAGAACTTAAAGTATAATAAAAAAAAAAATTTTTTTAAACCTGACTCCATGAAGACTGCTATTGAGAAGGTGTTTTCACAAGCTTAAAAAGAAAACACGTTTGCTCTGGAGATCCAGAGGATCCCATTTTTCTGTTAAGCAAAAGGGTTGCCTTTGTGTCATTAGCACAACTATGAAAATACAAGCTGTGGAGGCAGTTCCAAGCCTGGTTCAGAGCCACACACAACAGCCTACTCATCAAGTGCCATGCTCACATTCCCAGGGAAAACAAACACAAGTGGTATAAAAACACTCAGAGAAGGTGGCTTTGAGTAGTTTGTCCTAGAAAAACAAACACAGCTTGGATTGCGAGAAAGATAGCAGACAATAAAACATGTTCACCCTTCCAGCAGTGTGCGGTAAGACTAAATATTTACTCTAAAACAATACTGGATTCAGTGCCTTTTATGAGGAACAAAACACTCTTCTGGAATAATATAAGGGATCTCACTCTGACTCTTCTAGAACAGAAAGCAGAGTTCCAAACGGCCCAAGGCGAGGCTCCTGTGGCAGCACGAGGTCACCGGAGCGATTAACCCAAGTTCACTGGAAAGTAAGTTAACTACTATTTGTTGACTAGTAAAGGCAACAATTGGCATCTGTAACTCTTAAACTAGGAAAGTAGCTCAGAACCACTGTGGATTCACAGGGTTTGCTGTCAGACCACACATTTGGATTACGCCCAGAAGACCCTGACTTGCTGGGTCTAGAGTTTGTTCGGGATCCAAATCTACACATCTGGTTATCCAGATGAAGAATCTGTCCATGGAATAGAACCTACCTATAGAATACTGTTTTTCTGAATAGGGCCTACACCTCAGAATTAAGTTCTCACGTCAGTTTTTAAAGTTCTAAAGCATTACTGATGGTAGAAGAGGTAAAGAAAATAAAAGGTTACGAAACACATTGTGGTCTCGCATGTTAGGGTTTTTTCTTTAAAAAATCAAAGATTTCCAGAAAAAAAAGAGAACTTGGGAGACTACATATTAATGGGGGCAGCTACCAGTTACTGAGCTGATAACTAAGGTCAAGCACTGTACTAGGTATGCCACACGCCACCCTTAAAGAGAAATGGTTCCCCTGAGTAAACTAAGGTTCCAGCTGGGAATACCATGGCAAAAACTCCAGGCGAATGACTAATGTGGGAGACTGACTCAGTTTCCTAGTTGAAGGAAGACAGCCTTTTGAAGTTGGTTTCCATTTTAATGGCATGCTGTGGTCAGACAGGTTACTTTCTGTCTGGCTTGAACACATTTATCAATGGGCTCAGACTGTGCGGTGAACTCCTGGGCAGCAAGCCTTGCCTCAGAAGCACCTTAGTATCTTTCGATACCTCAGGCTCTGCCTTCTGAGCTTCAGCCTTCACCTGATCACAGCTGTGCATCAGAGCTCCTATACAGACAGGGCTGATGGGGATGGAGGATGGAGCACCTCTGCCGCCTCTACTCTGATCCTCTGTCTAAAGTGCAAACCAGCCCACCCACTGATTACTTAAAACTCACTGAGAGGTCTCTACTAACTTCAGGAGGAAGCCCGGATGCTCACCCCAACAGCTCAGACACTGTGATCTGACCCTTGGCTTTCTTCGATGCCTTCTTCCTCCCTACTTGTGTCCCCTCTCCACCCTTACCTCTCCTCCACATCCAAGCCATAGACACTAATTACACCAACCTACTGAGAGTTTGAAATACACCAAGATCTTTCTCCTTAACCTTTGTGCAAATTATTCTCTTTGGTTAGAATGCTGTCATCCCTATGCATTCTCCCCTACATAGCATCCATCAGATGTCACGTCCTCCAGGAAGTCCTTCCTGTCCCCCTTTAAAAAAATTTTTTTTTCTTATTTTCAATATCTGATGAGCTGTCCCCTTTTTCATCCCTCACCAAGAGTGAGCTAGGTGCTCCCCCTAGATATTCCCACTATCACCTCCTCCCTTTATCTTAACAGTTATCATGTTATAGCAAAATTGTTTGTTTTGTTTCTCTGCTGTCCCAGAGACTGAATGTTAAGATGTCAGTCACTGTGCTTGCTCTGCTGTTGAACCCATGGTGCCCGGGGCATAGCTGGCACTCAAACAGTTGTTGAGTTGAATGCTGGTTGGCAGCATCTCCTAAACACATAATTGTGTGTATTACAATGACAGAGCAGCTACCTACATATTGGGAAGCCCTACATTTCTTTTCTTCCCGCTTCTTTCCTTTTTGCTTTTTTTCCCACCCTTGAAATCAAAATTTTCAGAAAGAGGAAGAGAAATTAACATTTTAATAAGCACTTTGTATACTGCAAGCATTGACCATGGGACAATACTGAGAGGTAAATACTATCAACTTCGTTACACAGATGAGGACATGCAGGCTGAGATTCAAGAACTTACCCAAAGTCACAGAGCCAGTAAGTGTCCAAACTGACATTCACACCCATGATGCTAAAACCTGTGTCTTTTTCTTTATAATGTGCTACTTCTATTTGTTCAGCACAGGAGGACTTGAGGCTGTTCAGAAGGCAAGGATGGTGCTTCCTGTCCTGATGCTACTGCCCTATGTCTGTACTTACATTTGCTGTCAGCTGGGTGGTCAAAGCTGAAACTTTCTCCTGGGAGGCATCCAGTTCCCGCCGCAGTTTGCGAATCTGAAGATGGCAAGGGAGAGGGTTACATGCTTTGGGAGTCCATTTCCAAGGTGAGCAGGGTCAAATGACTGACAATAGTTAAAGAGGAAGTCCAACCAGAAAGCTGTTCCTTACCTCTGACTGGCATTTTTCTTCTGGCTGCAAAGAAAACATAAAGGAAATTAGACCAGTTAAGGAACAAAGAATAGTGATGTCCAGCCCATTGGGAACACCATATTCAGATAGTCGCAGCCGTCTGGAAGATTTATTCATCTCTTTTCTGGTGTATTTCTCTGGAAAAACTGGTTCAATTAAATGGACCCATCAGAAAGGCCAAATACAAATAGCTTATGATTTTTAAAAATTAGGAAGAATTAGTTGTGAGGTTGTGAGGAGCCACCCTGCTCCCCAGGGGATGGTGATAGGTAAGGTGCTCAGGAGAAGATATGTGAGGAGAAGGCCATGAGTCAGATTTAGTAAATAAAAATATAGGAGGCCTAGTTAAATTTGAATAGCTTAAAAAAAAAAAAAAAAGTCTAGGGCTGGGCACAGTAGCTCATACCTGACATCCCAGTACTTTGGGAGGCTGAGGTTGGTGGATCACTTGAGGTCAGGAGTTGAAGACCAGCCTGGCCAATATGGTGAAACCCATCTCTACTAAAAACACACACAAAAAATTAGCCGGGTGTGATGGCATGCACCCATAATCCCAGCTACTTGGGAGGCTGAGGCAGGAGAATGGCTTGAACCCAGGAGGTGGAGATTGCAGAGAGCTGAGATCTCACTGCTGCACTCTGGCCTGGGCAACAGAGGCTCCCGTCTCAAAAAATAAAATAAAATAAAATATAAAATAAAATAAAGGGTCTAATATGTCCCATGCAATATTAGGGACATATTTATACTAAAAAAATTTAATTGTTAATCTAAATTTCATATTGAGTGCTTTGTATTTTCTCTGGCAACTCTGGCAACTTTAGATAAAGGATCAGAGTAGAGGCAGAGGTGCTCCATCCTCCATCCCCATCAGCCCTGTCTGTATAGGAGCTCTGATGCACAGCTGTGATCAGGTGAAGGCTGAAGCTCAAAAGGCAGAGCCCGAGGTATCAAAAGGTACTAAGGTGCTTCTGAGGCAAGGCTTGCTGCCCAGGAGTTCACCACCTAGTCTGAGCCCATTGATAAATGTGTTCAAGCCAGACAGAAAGCAACCTGTCTGACCACAGCATGCCATTAAAATGGAAATCAACTTCAAAAGGCTGTCTTCCTTCAACTAGGAAACTGAGTCAGTCTCTCACATTAGTCATTCGCCTGGAGTTTTTGTCATGGTATTCCCAGCTCGAGCCTTGGTTTACTCTAGGGAGCAAGGAAGACTGCTCTTGGGTTAATTCTGCCCCATTTTCTGCCCTTCTCTCACTTCCCTAGGACACTGCAGCGGGAGCACCAGGGTAGAAAGACCTCAAAGTGAGGGGGGTTTGGGAGCCCCTATTAGCCAGCCCAGTAACTCCACAGGTTGTGGGGATAAATGTGGCCTTTATCCTCATGCTGTCCCATTTCAAGGACCCCAATTACCTGTGACCCCTGTGGAGTAAGGGTGAACTCTGTTGTCCCTCTTACTGGCTTCCCTCTTTGTCCCTTCCATGCTGGCTCTGTGTCTGTGGTGACACAGGTACCTGCTAGCCAGAAACTATAAGACCCTCTCTCCTCCCATAGGGGGAGCCCACATGAATTGGGGAACCCACTGCAGGAAGAACCTTTCTTTCCCTCTCCTCTAGTTCCCACAGGGGCTCATAAAGAGGATCCCTCCTCCTTCCTGGAAATGTTGAGTGTTCGACCTTCTCTCTACCCATTGCTCTAATTTCCCCAGGGAGGGAAGAGTGACTTGGGAACCAGGTAGGTGAGTGAACATCAGTAAGAACTCTATTCTGTCTTTGGGTCCTCCCTAAGTGTCCTAATCCAATTTTACTAGGGATAAGCCCATTATTTTTAAAAAATCAGCATCTGACCCTGATGTCAACGTCTCCATTAGTTCACAATACAATGTGGGTAGGATTCATTAGAACTCACAGAGCACATCCATCAGCTGGAATAGGTGGGCAGCTGCTTCCTGTCTGATCTCCCTTCACTCTGTGCTCCCCATTGTCCTCCCTCCTTATCCTGCCCACAAGCCCCCTCCTCTAGGTTGGCTCCTAATAGCAGCAACCAATTTTTAAATACACGGAGCCAAGTCATTTAATCCTTGCAGAAACTCCATTAGGTAGGTTTGTTTGTATTCCTTCTGAGGTTCAGAGAGGTTAAGTGTCTTGTATAAAGTCACACTGAACAACCTCCTTATCTAAGAAATGCTTTCAGGAGAAGGTTGGAAGATGTCCTCAGAGCTCACTCTTCCCTCCCAGGTAATATTCATTCATCTTTGTCTGTCTGTCCATCCATCCTCACTATCACACCTATCAAATATTTACTGATTTCCTACTGTGTGCCAGGCACTGTTTTTAAGAACCTAAGATAAAGCTGTGAACATGACCAAGTCCCTGACCTTGTGTTGCCTGCATTCTAGTAATAACAGCTAGCATTTATTGAATGCTTATCATGTGCCATAGACTGTTCCAAGCACTTTACATTCATTTTTCATCTAATCCTTATAACAACTCTTTGAGGAGGTACTAATACTATTGCTTTCTGTTTTGTGTATGAGGAAACTGAGGCACAGGAAGGTTCAGTAATTTGCCCAGGGTCACAGCTGGTAAGTGGCAGAGTTGAGACTGGATCTAAAGTAGTCTGGCTCCAGAGCCTAGGCATATTCTCCTGCACTTTTACTATAGCTACATTCTCATGGGGACTTTCCAGAAAGAAGCCCCAAGTTCAATCCAAAGGGTACAAGTTAATGGTGAGAATGTCACCACTATCTAACATTTGGAAGGCTGGTGGAGGCCTGTTAGCAGGCTTAACCAACCACATAGGACCAGTCCTACTTTGAAACACTGCCATCGACAGGCCCTAATAGCCCTTCCCCATGCCTCTGCCACTGTCTGTCACTGTGCCCATCTGTCTCTGGGGTTGGGCCCCCATTATCAACAGCAGCCTAAAGAAAGCATGTGCTTTGTATCTTGTCCCCATTGCTGCAGTTCTGCATATCTGGTAACACTATGTGAAGCTGCTAGCCTCCATCCATCCAGCAGCTCTCCTGGGAACTCAAGTGTTCCCTACCAAACAAGAAAGCAAGTCTAAGGCCAGAGGTGGCCTCTGAGATTTTCTCTACTCTAAGAGCTAGCCATAACTTTTCCATGGCAATCATTTAGCACTCTGTAATCTTTTCTTTCACTGATAATTAAAATTGCAGGCAAATTTCATGCAGAATGAGTATTCTTGAATATTCATTATAGAGATTTCAAGGAAAGAACCTACTGTCATCCAGTAAGAGCCTTGAAAACTCTCAGCTATTAAGCAGGTTCCTTGGTCTGGGTCTGTGGCAACTTAACATTTCAAAGATCTCTTTTCAGACAACAAACAAGAATTTTATTCACCTTAACATTTACAAAGGTGCCTGGAGCATGTATTTCAGAATTTCATTATCACCAAGAAGGTAATAATAGATAAGGGACTACACCTCAGTGCTGGGTGGTAGCAGTCTCGCCAGACTTGCAGTTTTTCTTGAAATTAGTAGACTGCACCAGCATAAAAACATTCAACTGATAGGCTATTTTTTTTTTTAAGTCTGCAAAAGTAACCTATATTCTCAGAGAAGGCATATGTGAGGACAGTAAATGGAAGCCTTTGATTCCATGACTCATGGAATGTCAGAGATTGTAGGGGCCTCAGAAGATCACCTTGCTCAGTTTCCTGATGCCAAGGGCAAAACTGGGGAGACACTCTGAATAACTAGGTGATTTGCCCAAAGTCACATGGTGAGACGAACTCTATGATTACACCTCGGGGCTCTTGTTATCCAGATAAAAAATGGAATTTAAAAGTATTATTATTAGGTCTATGCTAATTTGATGAATTTATATCAGCTCAGAAAAGACAATTTCAAATTTCATGAAAACACTATCTTCATGTCCCCACACCCAGAACAATAGCTACTGAAAGAGAGTCTTTTACTGTAAGGACTTCTAGTAGTTGGCATGAAGGGGCTGCCCCCAGGAACTGCATGTGACAGTTTCCTAGATCTGAAGACACACAGGTTGAGAAGCTTATGCTCTTTCCCTCCAAGGCTAGTTAATGCTGGCCAGTCTCCCATGTTTTACTTTTCTGAAAGGCCCACTCCCCTCGGTGTTGGCAAGAACCGCTGGGAATGCCACAGGGGAAACACGGGGCTGGGCACTGAACCATCCACTACAGCTTCTTTGCACCAGTCCTGTGAAGCTAGAGTCCCATGTCCCTCCAGTGCCTACGGCTTCCTCCTTCAGTAGCAGGCTCCTTTCTGTCCTAAATTATATCCTAGGTATTAGTCTAGAGCCAGGCATATCTATGGTGCCAGAAAATACTGTTGAAGAAGTGAATTTAGGTTTAAAAGTACCAACCTTGGTACCCATATCCCACAGTTTCATTCTAGAAGAAAGGACATAGTTTATCTACTGGCTGACAGCTGAAAGATGATCTCTATGCTTTCTTAGTAGATCATGGCTTAAAAAACCTCTCTCCAAGGTTTTTCTGTATAAAGCCTTTAAAAGGAAAGCTAGGACTTGGTGATGAAATTTCAAACAAGATGACTACATGAGGAAAGAGGAATTTTAGAGGTGGAGGGGTGAGGTGGTTAGGAAGAGTAGAAGTAAGAGTTTCTAGGTCCTTCAAAACAGACCATATCAGCAATCACTGAAGTTTATTTGCTTACTACAGGCCTAAGAAAGAACAGTTAGGCCCTGGTATCTTTAACTTGATTCTGGGGTGGCCTCTTATTTTCCAGGAGCTATACACAGTGTATCCTGCCATATAGACCAGAAACCGGGCATTATCAAAACCTAAATTATTAAAACATTTGTTTCCATGGGATTAAGGGCTAAAGAATTTCCAATTCACAACTAACAAAGAGATTTTTATTTTTTTTCCTCTAGACATTCCCAAATTACTATTTTTAAAGTAAATAGCATACAGCTATGGCCATGTGTGGTGGCTCACTCCTGTAATCCTAACACTCTGGGAGGCTGAGATGGGTGGATCACTTGAGGTCAGAAGTTCGAGACCAGCCTGGCTGACATGGTGAAATTCTGTCTCTACTAAAAATGTAAAAAAAAATTAGCCAGGTGTGGTGGTGCATGCCTCTAATTCCAGCTATTCAGGAGGCAGAGGCAGGAGAATTGTTTGAACCCAGGAAGCAGAGGTTGCAGTGAGCCAAGATTGTGTCACTGTACTCCAGCCTGGGTGACAGAGCGAGAGTCTGTCTAAAATAAAATAAAATAAATAGTATATAGCTATAAAAAGTAAGTACTACTGAACAAATCCAGTAGTACTGAAGATCCAAATGTATTTGATTACATTTGGCTTTCATTCAGTAAACCTCTCTCATGGATGACATCTAGCATTTAGGAGTGCTCGCTCTGAGCTGTGTGTACAATATTCATTGTTTTAGATTCATTTTCCCATTTCTTTCAAACCTACTTTAAAAATACCTACTATGTGCTAGGTACTATTCTAGGCACTAGGAATAAAAACAAAAATGTCCTTGTCTAGAAAGAGTTTATATTGTAGTGAAATGTAATCTTCATAACATTTAATCCTCATTACACCTCTATAAGGTAGGGACTGCTATTATTTCTACTTTATAGATAAAGAAACTGAGGCTGGTCAGGCACCGTGGCTCACTCCTACAATCCCGGCACTTTGGGAGGCCAGGGTGGGTAGATCACAAGGTCAGGAGGTTGAGACCAGCCTGGCCAATATGGTGAAACTCTGTCTCTACTAAAAATACAAAAAGTAGCTGCTACTCAGGTAAAAATTCCAGCTACTCAGGAAGCTGAGGCAGGAGAATCACTTGAACCCAGGAGGTGGAGGTTGCTGTGAGCTGAGATCACACCACCGCACTCCAGTCTGGGCAAAGACTCTGTCTCAAAAAGAAAGAAAGAAAGAAAGAAACTGAGGCAGACAAAGTATTAATACATTGCTCAAGGCCTTTCTTTTCCAAGTCCGTCAGCAGGTGGCCAAGGCTTCTCACACATTCGAAATAGTTATCACCTAAAGCACAATGCCACTTTAACAAAGCAGCCAGTTCTGGATTTTGGGGTTGGTATAATATAATTAATAGCTGTCTGAATTTTAAATCTTGTTCCCTAATTAATTGATCCCCTTATAATGGAAATGCTTTCTATAGGATAAATGCATATATTTTATTCTTGACACATTTGATAAAGGAACCCCAGCCTCGTGATCTCATGATCACAGCCACACAGCATTGATTTATACTCACTGTAGAATAAATTGACGATGTACTGGAAACCAAGGAGAGTGAGGATCCATGAACTATTAAAAGAAAAAAAAAAAGGGTGAGTTGATAGATGGCTGTTATGGTACCAAAAAGGGGACAGAGGAGGAAAAAAATCAGCAATACAGGACACTCCAGGCTTGGAATGACTTAATCTCATCTGGACCCAACCTTTCCTGGTTTGGTGATAGGTCAGTGACAAATAAGTAAGAGTTTGCTAAGGATGTCACTTTTCTATTACCGCATTTTTTCCTTCAACCTTCTGAATACTTTTTCTCTTGACTGTCAAAATAATATATGATTACTGAACAAAAATTTTCAAGTACAGAGAAGTGTTAAGAAGCATATTCACTGTCACAACCTGCAGTGACTCACACTTGCATTGCCCGGAGGCAACCTGTTACCGTTCCAGCATATTTTGCTTCACTCTTTTTTCTAATGTATTCCTTTAGGGTTAAGACTGTGTTCCATATACTTTTTTTTTTTTTTTTACCCTATTGGCATCTGTCAGTTGTATATGCAAAAAAAATGAGCTGATTATTTTGAACCTAAGAGGCTGTTGGCCACAGTAAGTTTATTCTAGATGACCATATAGCAGAATATTTGTTTAGAAAACATATTCATCGAAATATAGATTCTTTATTTGATTTCTACCATGTCTACAAAGTGACAAGCAAGTGGTGTCTTCTTTTCTGTTTCAAACTGGTACTTTTGACTAGAACCAACTTGTATGTCCTTAGCACCCTTCCGGCCCCCAGCCAGTGGAGGCATCTTATTATTTGTTCTAATTTTACAGCATAGTCTTTTCTAGGACTTGGGTATTCTAACTGCCTTCTTTTGTGGGAAGCAGGTTCTTTATTTTGTGGGAAGCAGGTTCTTTATTTTCCTGGTAACTTCTGAACAACTTGTTTGAAAAAAAGAAATATTCCTATGTTAAGGCATCATAGGACTTTTAACTGGGCACAGCTTTCCTGGCCATGGGTGGAATGGCTCTACTCCCACACCGAGTTATGACCTGTAGTCTAAAGTGGGAGGCACGGGGTAAACTTCCACGTCTACTAAATGGCATTCATCTACCACCCACGAAGTGAACTCACCTTGGATTAGCAGTCAGCAGAAGCTACATGCCAACAAGATAGCTGATAAGTAGCTCAGCCTAACACTCAGGCTCCTCTCTGTCATCTTTCCAGTAAATCTTCCCTGACCTCTCCTTCTTCCCTTATATGTTCTTGTCACACTATGAATCCTACACTGCTCTCCCAAGCTTGCCCTAGAGAGTACTTTCCTGCCTCAGAGTCTCTGCCCATGCAGTTCTCTTCATTTAGGCTGCATCTAAATACTGTCTATCCCAAACAGATCTGCTCAGATGACATCTTCTCTATGGGACCTTTCCTCATTCCCCTGACTGCCACCTAGGTGGGCTTCCTCCTCCCTCTGAGCCCACGTAACTCTTGGCTTGCTATTCCAGCTCTCTTCTCTCTTAGCAGCTCCCTAATGCTCTAAGCTGTCCCTCTATCATCACATACATCCACCCTCCTTAGCAATGCCCTGCATTCTAGATCTTTTCCTCCATGCTTTCTTCATCCATGACTAACCTGACTCATGCCCATAAAAAATCAGGTTAAGGTGTTAATGGCCAATAATGGCTTTCAGTGTTAATATGTCCACACATTAACACAGGTCTTTAATGTCCCAACTTAGTGGCCTAATGTTCCACTGAGGTAAATTAATTCAGCTTATGACACAGACAGTAGTGGAGGAATTATGTTGGAGGTCAAGTTGGGTGAAGAGATGTGGGTAACACATAGCTATGCACACTTGCATGACTGGCCTGCCAGAGACCAGCACAGGGCTGCTATATGGCCTCTGGCTGCTGGAAAATGGAAGTTTTTTCTTTTCTATTTCTACATCTCACACATATAAACTTACTGACACAGTTTTAGCAACAACTCAGTGCAAGCATGGGGCCACAGGCAGAGAAGATCACATCTGGCAGGCTTAAGGGAGAGGTAATTATTTTTCTCAATAATTAACTCCTCTCACTTTGTAATTAGCAACAGCAAGACTGCGTTCCAAAGAGACAGATTCCTTGATTTTCAGAGTCAACCCAAAACTGAATGTGGCTTACCTGTACCATTGCAGTTAGGCCTCCCTCAAGGGACTTGAGCCAAGTCAGAGCCTGGGTTATGTAATGTGGTTATTTTTGGACAACAAAATGTCTATGGGAGTTACAGAGGCTAAACAGCTAAAGCAGCCTATGTAGTTTTCCTCCTTATAGCTATACTTCCACATTTTTTCAGCTACAAGGAACCACAGAGGATATCTAGGCCATTTCTGCCATTAAGAAATCTGAAACTCGGAGAGGTTAAATGACTTGCTTAAGGTCACACAGCAATTCAAGAACAGGATCTGCTGATAGAAGTCAGGAGATCGCTCTGCCTTCAAGTGATCTGTTGTAACGGTTTCTGATTTTCTTTTCCATTCGTTTGTTTTTTTCAAAAGAGCCTTTTGGTGTCTTTTAGAATGGTGTCCTAGTCCCTTCATGCAATCTACACGTGGGCACAAGCTAGGAATGTTTGAGAAGAAAGATGCTTTAGTAGGAGTGAAAACACTAGATAGAATGAAACAACTAGGCATATTTCAGCCAATAGAGCAATCAAGGGCCTCTGACTCTCACAAAGAATCTGCAGGTAGCAATCCCAGACTAGGCAGGTCTTTTCCACCTCTAATCAACAACAGAGTACATTACATCTCAGAATGGTTAAGTGATGTGGCCAGACACACAGCTAGTCAGGAGCAGAAAGAGAATGTGGATCTAGGCATCATGATCTATTTCTCATTCCACAATTGGGTACTGTGGAAAGAGTCAGAAGAATGAAGTGCAGTTCTGATGGCTAATGGACTGCCCTGAAAGATCAGAGCTTGCCTCGCACAGGCTATTTTTTTTTTTTTTTTTAATTAAAAAAAACCCAGCTGAGTCAAATATCAAGGTAGGATTGAGTGGAAAGAAAGAGGGACTGGAATCAAGAGGCTTAAGGCATCATTGTGGCTGCATAAAGTCTTCAAGTCACTTTTGCCTCAATTTGGCCATTAAAAAAAATGAGGATGATAATGGCCCTTGGAGAGAAGGCTATAATGTGACAATTATAACAATAGCTACCATTGAGTGAGCACTTACAATACTCCCCTTTCAAAGTTATTTGTTAAATGCTTTCCAAGATTTATCTCACTTAATCTTCACTTCAATTTTCCAAAGCATGTACAATTATTTTTCACATTTCAGTGAAGAGGAAACAGGCTGAGCAGGTCAAGTCCTTTCTCAGAGTCACATTGATAACAGTAGAGGTGCCAGGATTTGAACCACTTCTGCAATTCAGGGGCTAGAAACACAAGTAAGCTGCAATACAAGCTTTCTTGGTTAATAAGCTTCTCTGCTCCTGGGGATTCCATATAAACCGATAGAGGAGGGTTTCTGTGTTTTTCATTGCATTAGCTCTTAGTGATGATTGGTGAAGTCATGGGATTTTTTTTTTCTCTAGAATCCATTTTAAAAATGCCTCAAGCATCCCCTTAAATGTATGCTATTAAAGTTGACTTTAAGATCGCATAATGCATCTGATAGAAAGCAATTTACCTGAAATACCTTTGAAAGGCTGCATCTGGGCCATGTCTGTACCTAATCTACATATTTATAATTCCTAAAATTTCAAAGTGGAAAGTGCTAATTAAATTGCACAAAAACCTCACATAAATACTTGCACTACTTCTTCCTAAATTTCTATTCTGCTTTATGGCGTATAATACACCTAACTGATTATTACAAGAAGTTCTGTTTGGTCCAAACATGAAATGTCAATTTTCTTCCAACTGCTCCTGCAATACTGGGAGTTAATAAATTCAAAAGAAAAAGGAATTTCATCAAAAGGAATTAAAAACCTAATTACACAAGCCCCATTTTGTTTTTGAATGTAATACCCTTAAAAGAAATAAAATCAATCTGATGCCCTATCTTCCAAAAGATTATAATGTTACATATTCACAGTGTATTGCCAGCAGACCCTACCCATTCCCCTAAAATTTGACTTTTACCTCTGTGCTTCAGTTCCATGTCACCATGAATCATTAGGTTTACAAAAGTCTAGACACTGCTTGTGGGCAAGCACTTTTTATCAATGTCATTTTGACATTCCAGATATTCCACAGTTGTGCTGTCCACCAGCTTGATTCCAGATGGAATAAATAAAAGCTATCTGATGACGATACTGTGATGGTCCTGGACCTTTATGAGGCGAAGTGTGCTTGTTTGGACAAGTTTCAGTAGTGGACGTGGTTCACTCAGGAACGCACATGGTAGAGAAGAGAAATACAGTGCGGGACAAACTCCATATGCAAATCCTTCCCGGGGAGATTGGGGAATGCTCCGAGGCGATGCTTGGCCGGTACACTGACTAGAAGGAAGTTCGAGACAAACTGCCTCTTCCTTCACCTTAGGATCACAATATATTCTCTACTATCACTGTTCTGAGCAGTTATAGCATTAATTTGTAGCACTTAAATCTCACAAATGCCCCTCAGTGACTCAGGCTTCTCCCCTCCTTAATCCTTTGTCCCAGCAGCTTCCCATATATGGATTTACAGACTTGTACCTGTTCACTGAATGTCATGGTATGCAAATGATACATAAATCAGGGTGGAAAGTATTAAGTTACCAAGAAAATAAACCAGGGGGCAATTGCTCTGTAAATTACATTCTTTAAAACTTCTGTTAAAAAGAACATTAGGCAAAAACAGAATCCTGTGCCTTGTGTTTCCCTCCCTTTTGACTTAAAACTTCCTAAACAATTACAGGTTTGTTTGTTCTTTCATGCTGGGAGGATGCTGGCCCTTTTTCCCTACTCATATGGGGACTGGGAAGCACCTATAACTTACCCTCCGCATTCTGTTTTGTCAATGGCAACAAAGGGACAACTAGATGTATAGTCCTCAGACTAGGCTCCGTTTGCTCCAAGATTCCCCATTCTCTGGCAGGGGACTTTGAGCTGCCAGGAAGTCAATGCTGAAGCTGTGTTTTTACAGCTATGTTATTATAGCTTTATGGCTGTGTTATTACAGGCCATGACATGTAATAACATTATTGTGTTAACATTTATATGTATTATCTCATTTAATTCTCATAATTCCATGAGCTGAATACTATTATTACTCACTCCTATTTTATCCGTGAAAAAACAGAGGCATAGAGAGGTGAAGCAACTTGCTCCAAATCATATCCCTAAAAAGCAGTGGAGCTGGAATTTAAACTCTGCTAGTCTGACTCCTATTCTTAATCCTCGGTTGATGAGCATTGCTGCCAATGTCCTATCAGCCCCATCTTCATGGGGTGGGGGTGATATCTTCCATAGAATTTTGACTGCTTACTCCCCTAACTCATACCTTGGGTGATGGAATAAAGGAAGAGAGAAACGAAGTGAGCTGTGAAAACGGCTGACAAAGTTGTCCACAGAACTTTTCTCCCATGATTCTGATGAAAATGAACCAAACATAAAAATCCAACCCCAAATATTCACAGTTAGCAACCAAAGAAAGAAAAGGGCATAACTGAAAACAATACATGTAAAAACCCAGTGCTTGAGAAAAGGGATGAAAAATTCTGGAGCAGAGCAGAGAGGCATGGCCGCCCGGCCCCCAGAACTACATGGGTGTGTCAACACAGGGAAATGAACTCTGCAGTAGTTCTCTCTGCCAAGATGGTGAGCCAGTGGCTGAGCCTCAAGGTAGAGGCACATGCCAAGAAGCTGTGGCCCAAGTCCAGGAGGGAGAAGCCTAAAGTGGAACTCAGTCAGCTCTATGGTTCACCAGTGATTTTTAAGCAGCCTCTTCCTTAAAGGCCTGGAAGGTGAATTAAGGGTCAGGCCAGACCTTACTCTTCAGAGATCCCCATCCCTGACCGCCAGAGCAGGTGGGAGAGGTGGGAGCACTTACAGGTGGGAGCTCAGGTTAATGAAGTGAACTTAGCATAGAGAACCCTTAACTACAGTGAGTAACCTGGGAGATGGTAAGTTTCCTTCCTTACCTTCTTCAAACCCATCCCGGAATGAGCCTGAACGGCTCATGGTTCTGCTCTTCTCATCCAGGGACATGGAGCTATTCCGGAAGCGGCTGTCAGTGTATGGATCATACTGCCCATCAGCATTGGAGAGGCTGTGGGTCCTCAGCATGGTCGGGTTGGACAAGCTCATCTGGGTGACAGTGGTGGGACTCGCTGGAATAAAAGGAATAGAATGAAAAGGTTAGACATTCATGTCTCTGTTCAAATCCTGGTTGGGGACAAAGAGAAGACTGCTTATTGTTAGCCATATGTGTTCCTGCCAACTCTTCTCCCGTCTGTTTTCTAAAAGGTAGTCCCATCAGCATTTGAGTTACACACTGGGAGCTAAAAATAAGAGTGGAAAGGCAGGTCAGCTCCAAAGCAAGGCTCTGGGCCTCAGCTTTCCAACTTGGCACGTTCAGACAGGCCAGTGTCACCTTCCAGGCATGAGCTAATTACTCCTCAGGCTCATCTGGAATGATTTTCTCTAAAGCCAAAAGCCCAAAATAGCGCAACCAGGCTTTTGATCAGATGGGAAGCATTTGTGCATGACAAGAATCTCTTGCCTCAAAGAGTTATGGCTGGGAAAGAACAGTATGAACACAGGTCCCATTGCCTCAGATGGGGGACATTTAATAATGGTGTATAAAGAGTTTTAATGCAAGGAAGGTACATTTGTCTCAGCTAAAACTAGCTTTCTTATGAAAATCCTGTCCATTTGAGTCATGTGCAATATTTTCAGAGGTACTCATTTAGTCAATCAGAAATGAAGAGTTAAACCTCACTTGACTACAAGCCACCTCTATCCTTAAAGACTCTGAATTTGTTATTCACTATATTCAGAAAAGGCTGCCTCTCTAAAGAGTGAGAAGAGATTAGAAAAGATTTCTCACCCGCTATCAGTCCTTCAAGGCTCAGCTCCTACCCTGCCACCTTCACATAACCTCTGCCTGTAACTCCAGCCAGCACTAATCTTTCCTTTTTCTAAATGTGTCTAATACTTGCTATCTAATTATATTCAGCTTTTACACGGTTTCATATAAAGCTTTGGATTGTTCTCTTTTACCCTATTATACAGGTGTGCATTGATGTGTTTGTCTTCCTGAAAAAGAATTCCATTGACATGTCAGCAGGGACTGTGACATAAATTCTTTTTCTTTCCCCACTGTGCCAGTCAAAGTATTATGTCAGAAGTAGGCATTGTTAAGAATACCTATTCAATCAAAACTTAACTTTTATTTCCAACTTAATAAAGTAATGAGGATGACCTAACATGGGATATGCAATAAAATCTATTTCTTCAGAGGTCTTAGAAGAGAATGCATTCTTTTTAAGAATGCAATAACATGTTCTTTGCCATAGCCCTACCAATATCAACCAAATAAAGAAAATTATTGATTAGAGTATCAAAAACTTTACCATTTTCTCTATTTCTTTTGCTATCAATCTCCTGTAATAAAACTATATTGCCGAGAGCTAATCAGACACTGAGCAGGATGTGACTATATGGCTGTTTCACAATATAAGATAACTCAAGTGATGGGTGCACCAAAATCTCAGAAATCACAACTAAAGAACTTATCCATGTAACCAAAAACTACCTGTGCCCCAAAAACTATTGAAATAAAAATATATTATATATATAAGATAAACACTGTCCTATGGAGCTGATCAATACAGCTAATGACAAGTGGCTACTCACCAAGCTGGGAAAAGTTGAATCTTGTACCAGAGGGAGAAGTCACGCTGGAGCCAGAGGAAAAGGGGGAATTGGAAGCGGTGTCCTGCAGGCCTCCTGCAGAGTGGGACCGTAACCATTCTTTTGCATCTTCTTGCGTGCGAAGCTGGGAGGTGGGAGTATACCTGAACAGACAGAAATCAAGCCAGAATTAACTATGAACAACGCTTATTAAAATGAACTCTGTGGAGTTGATGGTAAATATATTAAAAGGAAAACATATATCCAAAGATGATTTTTTTAAAAATCAGATCACTACACACCCGGAAACTTACGAAGTTTCTCAAAACCTTTTTTCTATTTGCCTGTGTTTGGGGAAAATGACTATTCCTTTCAGTTTGGAGGGAACACATAAAGGGAAGAAGATTGGTAAATGCTCAGAAGAGCCGTCACTGGGCGTATCTGTAACATGTTGCTTCATGATAGTGTCATGTCAAAGCCCCCACCTTGACAGGACTGAAGAAACAAAATGAGTTGCTGTTAGTGCTTTGAGGGAGTTTTAATTAGACAACTCATGGCATCTGCCATTCTATAGCACAAATAAACGACCATGAATCACAGCATATGAAAAAGCAGACATACAAAGCAAGGTTTGAAGACATTAATGTTTGTAGTAGTTGCTGTAATAGAGCATAAACAAATCTTCATAAAAGCAACCCCAAATCATTGGGTTTTATAGGAGAGGGTCTTCAGAAGTTACGTGGTCCACCCTCATTTATTCTGAAATGTATATGGTGATGATTTATTGAACACCTACAACGTGTTAGGTGTCTTCATGCACATTATCTTTATCGAAGCCTCAGATCTACTCAGCAACATAGATGCCATTATTCCCATTTTACATTCAGGGAAGGTAAGGACCCTGCTGGTAGTCACAGAGTTGAGATTTCAATCCATGTTTGATTGTTAAAATGCATGCTCTTTTCATTATGCCCATAAGTAGCATCTGAAATTTTTTTTTCTTTCTTTCTTTCTTTCTTTCTTTTTTTTTTTTGAGATATAGTCTTGCTCTATTGCCCAGGCTGGAGTGAGGTGGCACGATCCTAGCTCACTGCAACCACTGCCTCTTGGGTTCGAGTGATTCTCCCACCTCAGCCTCCCGAGCAGCTGGGACTATAGGCATGTGCCACCATGCCCAGCTAATTTTTTGTATTTTTAGTAGACACAGGGTTTTGTCATGTTGGCCAGGCTGGTCTCGAACTCCTGACCTCAAGTGATCCACCTACCTTGGCCTCCCAAAGTGCTGGGATTACAGGCATGAGCCACTGCATCTGGCCTGCATCTGAAATTTCTGAGTGCCAAGTGGCTAGGGTATCCTCGGACTTATGTATTATGGAGTGACTACTAATTATGTCAACAGAGGGATTCTTTGGGCTTAAGGAAAGATGTTGTCAGTGTGTTCATACTGGATGTTCATGTGTATGGAGTGGGTGAGCTAGATAAGGAAGAGTCAGAGTGAGAGGGAGCACAGAAATATTTCTTCCTTAATGTTTTTACTATATCTGACAGACATGCAACTTTCCAGGACACATCAATTGCCTGAAAATAGCCTGTCATGTATCTCTATTCTGAATTTTTAAAAAACCAGAGCTACATAATTTTGATAGGCTAGATCTGCTACAGAAGTATACCCACCATTTCAAAATGTTAACATTTAGAAGTTAGCTTCCTCTAAGGGCACCAGTGGGGCATCAAAGTCAAACTCACAGTGAGAGTGGCCATGAGTTAAGCACCTGGCATGGTTGCTGACAAGCAGCTCATAGGCATGACTGAAACTGGTAAGTACAAAAGGCCTTGCCAAGGCCCCCTCTAAGGCCACACTGCTCCACTCCCTCTTGCAGAACAACTGTTGGGAGATTTTAATACTTTCCTTCTTAGATTCTTAGCATTGGCTTTACTCAGAGGCTCCCATTGAAAGGAAGCATTGATACCTACCTCACATTACTGTTCAGAATGCTCTCAGTCTTAAGAGCTGCAGGTTATTAACTACGGACATACATGACAGCAATGAAACATTTCATTCCAAGTTCCATTTTATGCGAAAGCACTTAATGCTTAGTGCAGGGTGAAGCTGATGCTACAAGGCACGTGGTGTTTAGAAAGCAGGAGAAATGACGGCTGCAACCATCAGACAGCAAGATCACGGGGAAGGCATTAGCAAACTGAAGTTTCTCTGATTGGCAAAGTGATATAGATGGTGTGAGCAATGGTGACTTATAGCATCTTGTTTTGCCAGGACTAGCATTAAAAATGAACCTGAACCACCACTTACCAGGAATGGAAAGACAGTCCTTCCTGGGAGTCTTTTCTTTATTATCCACCAAAAAATGATCACACCCAGGTCTTGTTGGGCATTGAAAGTGGACCAATTTTCCATTAGAATATTTAGACAAGTGCAAACTATCTGTCTAGCAATTTTGTATGGGCAGGAAAGTTAAATATTTTCAAATTGGGGGAAAATACTCCTTTCCTCTTGTGCTCTTGTCCCAGCTTACAAATCAGTATGCTATAAGTCATGTCCTTTCTCTTGGAAGACAGCCATATGAACAGAATGGTCATGGTGAAGTGCTCAGAAATTAAACCCATTGGCCCCAGAAGTAGCAATGACTGCTCCCTGGGCTTGCCCAGAGATGTTTTTTATGAGATGGTTTTACCACAGTAAGCCTGAAAAAGCACAGCCCCTGTTCAAGCAAGTAAGCTGACAAATGGAGAGTGAGAACGAGAGGGTGCAAGGGGAGCTGTCATCCAAAAGGTCCTGCTGTGGTGGTCAAAGCGGGGACCCCGGCCCAGTCCAAACCCCCACCAGCCATGAAGGAGTCACACAGCCAAGCTCCAAAGCCACAACAGATGGCACAGATGCAAGGGGGGAAACACAGATACCTGAGTCCTTTCTTAGGCAAAGTGTTCCTATCAAGGTGCGGGTCACTGTAGGAAAGTTAAAACAAAAATAAGAACTTCAGAGCAGCACACAGAAGACAGGAAGAGGGAACGCTAGGGAGGAGGCTGAAGGGCCCTGGAGAGAGAGGCGCACATCACCAGGAAGTGCCTTATCCAGCTAGGCATGCAATGCAACACATCCGCATCCATGGAAAACAAAAGAAACCCAGTCCTCAGCCTGAGCTGACACCAGCGCATACTTTACCCCAGGTTACCAGGAAGCCTGAGTCCCTTAACCCCAATTGTTCCTCCTTTTCCACAGATTCAAAGCAAAACTCAGGGGTTGCCCCACCTCAAAGCAGAGGTCCTGTGCCTTCTGCTGCCCAGGAGCACTCTGCACCAACACGGCTTCTCGGAGAGAGGGATGCCCACTTCCCTGCACCCCTAACTCTGGCCCACCCGCTAAATGCCACTGGCAATGACTTCAAAAGTGGGAGAAGGGACTTGCCGGAGGCTTCAAGAGGCCAGCAGTCTACATATTTGGAATTCATCTGTAACGAAGTGAATTCCAGGTCCCTCTCCATTTCTGCGCCCCAGGCATAGCTAGGAGCTGAGTCCTGGGTGGGGCATGTTACAACTTGCTGGCTGATAAAGTCAAAGCATTTGGATCTCTAAAGACCAGTGGTTTAAAGGCTTGGTTTGTGAGCTGACAAAAACAAAGTTTTCACTGTTGATGGGGTGAAGGTTTTTTTGTTTTTTTTTTTCCTGGCAGGAGACAACATCTGCTTGTTTTGTTTGGCCAAGCCATCACTCCCCCACAACATTAAGGTCAGTATCCATCTCTGAGGCCCACCCACAGCTGGGGGCAAACGCAAGCGTGTACATTCGTAAAGTCTTAACACTCTACACATTCTTTTTCATTATCATCGCAGGAAATGGGCACACAGAACACAGCAGTCTGCAAGACATAATGAGCCAAACTTCAGCAAAGGATTCTGAAAGGGAAAAGAGGCAGCTGCATGGGGAGGGGTAGACAAAGGTGAGGGCCAAGCTACACAGTGGGTGGCAGGTCAATTCTGGGCTTGGGGGTGGGGGTGGCAAAAGGAATGGGAAGGAAGCCGAAAAGCAGGAACATGCCACAGGAGGCCACAAGAGATGCAAGTGAGAGCTTCTGCTGCCCCAGATCAAGTGGCAGGGTTTGAGGTTGCCTTCCCAAAACGGGAATGAAGGGGCCAGCCCAACTCCACCTCTCCCTGGGCTTTAGCAGACAGAGGAACAGACTCTCACTGGCATGTCCATGTGTCACAGAGTACACTAGAACCACAAACACAAGCAGGAGCCTTAGGCCAACAGCCTCGCACAAGACATCTGGCTTGACAACGAATGGGCAGAAGAACCTAGAGGCTCGGTGGGTCCCCGGCCTGTAATGTCATTACCTGTCCTGTTTCCTGGGCAGAGTACTTCTGCAGAACTTAGGGCTAGCAGCAGGGGAAGAGAGAGGGCTAGAAGTCCAGGCAGGTAGAAAACAAGAGAAGGAACATTAGCTTGGAAGAAAGGAGATGTGTTGTTATATACATTTTTCTCATTCCCCATGCTGATCCTTGCTTTCTTTCCTATATGCAGAAACTGGACACCTTTATCCCTGCTGCAGTGAAATCCAGGGCTCTGAGAACACTTTTAATTTCCTGATTTCCTATCAGTCCAGGAGGAGGGTGTTTGCCACGATGACAACAAATCTACCCAGCTGCCTAAAGAGCGTCCTACTCCACGCTCCATGGCTGCACCCAGTCACCCGCTCTGCTTGCACAATTACAAGGGGAGGGAAAAGAAGCTGTTGATGAACAAACAGGATAAAACTGAAGGATTTCAAAAGCTGAATGCCATTTCAAATGGTAGCATAAATCTGCCCCCGAGAGACTGAGCAGCTCCAAGCACCAAGAATAACCACAGAGGAAAAGATAACAGGGAGCAGAGCCAAGCTTGATTCCATCCCAAACTGGCTTCCCCATGAAACACAGCAGTAATTAGAAAAAGAAATCTCACAGGCAAAGGCTATTCGACATTTGGGATTCCTCAGCTAATCTTTTTACTTTTGGAAGGGTGTCTTTCTGAGAAAGGCAGCCAGAGGCACAGCACCAACCTTTCTGACAGTGTGGTCTTCACACTGTTGGTTCTGATAAAGGGAGTCAAGGAGTCGTCCTTGGAGGAGGTGATGAGGCCAGTGGAAGAATTGTGGCTGGGGCCCCCTCCACTGCTGAGGGAGATGTCGATGGACTCACAGCTGGTGTGGAGGCTGCTGACAGACTGAAAGCCCAGGCCATCCTTGCTAACTGCGGAGGAGCTGCTGGCGTTGGTGCCCCAGGTGAGGCTGTTGGAAGGGGCCGAGTGGGCTGAGCTGGGGCTGGAGGCTAGCGGAGACTGGTTGAGGTCCACATTCTTGCTGTAGAGAGGACTGCTGCTCCCGCTGCTCAGGACACCACTGCCTGACGGGGAGTCTAGGTTACCTTGCTGAGTCATGGTGGCATGAGGATTGGAGATGACCACTGAATTTTTCATGTTTTCAGCTGTGGCGATGGGCACTTGCTTGGTAGCCTTCCCACCAAAGAGTCTGTGAAGAGACAAAGGGTTGTGTAAGTTGAACACGCAGTGCCAAGGGGCACCGGACTATTAAAGAAGGGTAGAGCAGAGGAGTTGGTGAGAATTCCTGGGGAAGGAAGCACAGCCATTCCTACTGAAATGGCTAAAGGTACTTCAGGGAAAGGTCGGCCATAAAGTGGGCCTAGATACTAGTTTATCACAGGCTGCCGTCTTCAAGTTCTAAGCTGCAGCGGAGACTCCGACTCCATCTGAGCCAAACAGCCATGGGTAATAATTTTCTACAGGCCTATTCACATTACACTGGGCCAAGATCTTGCTTCTCTTTCTTTCAATAAATAGACTAACTAGAAAATTGCCCTGGCCCAGGAAGATGGTTGTCTTTATCATCTCTGTCTCCGCGGCCCCAGGCATAAAGCAGCCATACAGTTTATGACAGCTCAACTCTAAGGGATTTGGTTTCTTGACCTCCGAGCACAATACATAGAATCAAGAGCATGAATCTGGATCTGGAGGGGCCTGGGAAAAATATCTTCAGAGATTTATCCACAATAGAAAGCGCAACTGGAAAGATGTATATTTTGAAGCCAGAGAGCTTACTCATCCAGTGACATACATGGAAATCTTGTTGGGTTCACAAGACATCAGACCAGACACACTGGGTGTGAACTGTGTCTCTGTGACAGACACAGAGAAATGTCATCCTATGTCACCTCCCCTGCTCGTGGCCAAAAACGTGCCATCAGACTATAAGGAATGACATAAATGCCCCCTCTTCCACTGGCAGAGAGCTTTCTGGTAGAATGTTGAAATTATCTTAAAGTCAGAGAATTGTCCACATTCTAGTAATGTAAAGGCTCTATTACACTCACTAAAACCTGTGTGGAGTGAGTATCTCACAAGTGACAAAACTACTACATATTTCTGATACGCAGGTTGCCTTGGGTGCTCAAAGTGGTGACAGTTTGATCTCTGTCCTCTCCAAACAGTCCTATAAATCTCAAGTATTGTAAAGACAATCAATCAATCAATCCTTACTACAGTGTGTGGCGGTGGCAGAAGGGAAGCACTTTGTGTCTGGTGACAATCAGGGAATGAAATATCCTAATGTAGAATCTTGGCTTTAGAATGCTTACATACTTCCAGTGATGACAGGGATCTCGTTACTTCAAAGGGCAACTTGCTCCATTGCCAAGCACTTCCAATTATTGGAAAACCCTAATCTCATCCACTTTTTTTTTTTCTGACTTTTGCATATTGCTCCTCATCCTGCTATGCATGACTCTATACAAAAGTCTAATCTTCGGTCTGTTAGTCCTTCAAATCATTTGAAGAGAGTTATCTATCACATTTCACCAAAGATTTTTCTTCTCCATACTAATACACATCAAGAGAACTGTGAATACCTCAACGATTTAGGAATAAATGTAATTTACCAGGAATTGGCCAAAAGGTGTTCAATGTAGAGCCCTAGGAGCTGCATGCATTTTCAAGCATTCTATTATACTAGCCTAAGGGTCTAGTAAAATGCCTTTGTAGTTAGCAAAGGAAATCTATAATACCAACGAGTGAATATTACATATAATACTTGAGGCAAGAAACAGAGAAAATTTTCATTTACAAGGCAATCTGTTAAAACAACAAAGAACAGCCCAACAGACTTACCCCCGGAAAAAAAAGTCATTACTGAAATTCTAATAATCAAGTCTGGACAAAGAACAGTGAACTGCTTCATTATACCTTTCATGTAGAATGCTTCTTCTGAAGTCTTTTCAAACATTCCTGTTCATCCCCAAATATGTACGTGTGCATATAATTTTTATTTTCTCACTGCTTGACTTTCTTTCCTTAGGACTTATTCTTTCTTATAAGAAATTTCCTGGGAAAGTAGGATGAACTGTAACCTAGCAGTTGTAGTTTGAGAATGGTCCAATGGATATTATAATAAGATAATACAAACAGGCAAAAGTTGAATAAATTTAAAAGAAACTTAAAACGAGTGAATAATTTTTTTATGTCTAGAGCTTCCACCCAGTGTGAAAATGTGGGGAAATGATGTCTATTTAAGGTAATAGGAAATCAATTTCTCTTTTTCAGAAACATTTCTTCTTTAAGAGGTGTGTGTGTGTGTGTGTGTGTGTATGTGGTGGGGAGGGAGAAGTTAAAATTTCAGACTGACTTGGAATTCTGGAGTAGTGTAAAAGTGTATGTGGGGACACTGGGGTTTGTGAGTAAAGGAAGGAGCTGGTCAAGATCACTGCTTGCCATAATGAGGAAGCTCAGCTGCAGAATTATTAACACAAGAAAAAAAAGTATCTGCTCCCCTGAGCTACCCACCCAGGTCCAAGGGTGTATCAAGACCTCATTCTGGATTGGATGGTAGCTAACTTTTTTTTCTTCTTTTTTTTTTGAGATGGAGTCTCGCTCGTCGCCAGGCTGGAATGCAGTGGTATGATATTGGCTCACTGCAATCTCTGCCTCCCGAGTTCAAGTAATTCTTCTGCCTCAGCCTCCTGAGTAGCTGGGACTACAGGTGCACACCACCATGCCTGGTTACTTTTTTTGTATTTTTAGTAGAGATGGGGTTTCACCATATTGGCCAGGCTGGTCTTGAACTCCTGACCTCGTGAACCGCCTGCCTCAGCCTACCAAAGTGCTGGGATTACAGACATGAGCCACTGTGCCCAGTGGTAGCTATCTTCTATTGAGTGCATACTACGACTAGACATGGCTACAAAGATGCATCTTTACAAAAACCCTGACTAAAAGGTATCATCATGCCCATTTTACAGGTGAGGAAACTAAGGCAGAATTGTTAAGAAAGGTTATATGGCAGCTAATTAAAATGGAACTAAGATTTGATTCCAAGATGACTGATTCCAGAGGCCTAACTTTTTCATCCCAGCAAGGGAAAATAGTCAACTGCAAAACTGTCGGCAGGATCTGCCCAAACAGCTTTACCGGAGGACTAAAGTGGAGAAAAACAGAGGGTGCTTCAACTAAGAAACAGGAAATTACTAAATCCATTCCCTGTATTCTGGTTCTGCTGAGCACCATTAATGTACTCACTTACCTGCGGAGTGTGGGAGAGGCCACATCTGGGTACTTGGCTCCAGGCTGGAGACCAGCCTGAGCCGGGCTGGACACAGGCTGGGCTGCCGGGTTCACTTTCACCGAGTTACAGGAAGCCACACTCTCGCTGTCGGATGAGATGCCTTTCTCCTTATCTGTTTGGTTGACCAGACCTGGTAGAGAGTTGCCTAGGGCTGTTTTGGAAGGCTCCCTCAGTTTGGGCACTGGCAGGCCTGCGGACTTGCTGCTGATGTTGGAATCTATGCTGCTGGTGCTAGACCTGTTCCCAGCCCCATTCCGGCTGGTGGACTTACTGGGCCTCGGCAAACTCCGGTACTGAAGGTTTGTCCGGGAGCTGAGGGCCAGATACCCGTCATCCTGATTCTGAGCCCCGTCCATGCTTGACTTCCGACCAGCAGACCGACTGATGAGTGCAGACGACTTCGGGATTTTGCCCAGTGTGGCTGACCTGCTGGTGACAGTGGCCCCACTGGCTGTGATCATGGCCAGACCGGCGGCGGAACCACTCTGCTTCTTGAACCCAAAGCTGTTGGCATTGGCAGTGGGTGTCCTAGAGCTGCTGGGGAGGGGCTTTTTGGATTCGTCACCACTGCTCCGGCCTGCATCTGATGGGGAGCGCTTCACCTGGGAGGCTTTAGGAGAAAGCCGTCCTTTCTCAGACACCTTTGCATCGTCTGTTTTTCCTAAGAGAGAGATCAGCAAGATTAGCCTGCAAGCCAAGAGCCCAGCTCATCCATCTCGTCTGTTTAAGATGCCTCCCCTCCTCTGAAGAGCTGGTTCACTTTTCCCTTGGGGAGGCAGAGGAAAGAGCTTTTTATAAAAATAATATAGTCTCCTAATGTACTGTGAGCCTTTTAGGAAATGTCAATAATTTTACTCATTTGCAAAGCAGTCTAAATTTACCTGGGATAAAGCAAAGCCAGCCAATCACTGATATGTCTGGGGGGAAATAACCCCCTGCCTTTTCTGACCTTTCACCCTCTGTCCATTAAAGGGCTGTCCCTACCATGTCCAGGGGGATACCCCTGCCCTTGTTTATAAATATCCCCTAAGTCAGGAACAACATCAACTCACCATACCCACAGCTCATAAATCCATGCTGTTTAGTAGCCTGAACTGGCTGCATTAACTCACCCAGTGCCTAGTTAAACCAATTCAATACGTCTCAGCAGCCGAACCGTCTTCAGAGCTTAAGAGGCTCCCATACTTACTTCCACTTAGAAAAAGGTAGGGATGTGAAAGTTTATGGAAGCTTGTTGTTAGCAGAGTATAAATCCTGAGACAAAATATATAATGTCAAGTCCTTGCTAGAGTTAACTATGGCTTTGGTTTTCCAAATGACAACTGTAGGGCCAAGACAGCTCCAGCCTCTTACCAGTTCCTGGGGTCTTCAGTGCGCCTGCTGGGGCTGACGGCTTCGTCCTTGGCATGGTGATGCCCACCTGAGCTGTCATGCCTCGCCGCCATGAGCCTGTCTGGGAGATGACAGGATTCTTCTTGCCTGACGTGCTTTTGTCGGACTCGTCAGACACGTCAGAAGGATTCCGCCTCCACTTGGAACCTGGCTCCATTTTTATGCCGCTGTCTGAGCCTCCATCTGATTTCTTGACATCATCACCAGACCACAGTGAATTCCTCTCCACCTGTGAGTGCTTCTCAGCATCAGTCTGTGGACAGAGACTCTCTGAATTAGTCCTTCCCAAGTCCCAGGCTGGGGAGCCCCTCACTCCAAGGGCAAAAATGCCAAAACACTGGAGTAGTTAAGGGAAAAATAATCATTACTTTAAAGATGTTTGGACTTTTGTACTCTGGTTATCTTGTCAGAAAGCCTGATTTTGTCTTTTTTTGATCCGAGGAAAGTAAATAATATCAATGTATCCTTAGAATGGAATGAGGTGGCCGGGCACAGTGGCTTATGCCTATAATCCCAACATTTTGGGAGGCTGAGGTGGGAGGATCACTTGATCCCACGAGTTTAAGACCAGCCTGGGCAACATGCAAAACCCCGTCTCTACAAAAAATAGAAAAAGTAGCTGAGTGTGGTGGCACACACCTATAGTTCTAGCTACTCGGGTGGCTGAGGTGGGAGGATCACCCCGGGGAGGTGGAGGCTGCAGTGAGCCATGATCGCACTACTGTACCCCAGCCTGGGTGACAGAGCTAGACTCTGTCTCAAAAAAGACAAAAAGAAAAGCAAAAGAAAGGAGTCAGGGAAGAGAGGAAAAGGGGCCCAGGAAAAAAGAAGGAAAGCACCCTAGCAAGGGGAAGGGGCAGAGCAGATGGAGATGCAGTGGGAATTCAGCCACCACCTATTTTCTGCCACTTGAACAAGCCTCTCTAACTCTGGTTGCTGATCTCTAACCAGCATCCAGTCTCCTGGCCCGTTTCCCTTTGTTCTGCCTTCTTCCCATCACTCCACCACAGTGAGATCTTTGGATCTAACACACCAAGCAAGGGAGTAAGTGAGCAAGGGTGGCTGCTGGTTCTACTCAAATCAGGGAGAGCCAGGAGCAGAGGGGAAGCACATCCTCAAATGGTACTTCCCCCAAATGTGGAGAGCCAATGGTGCCTGCTCCGACCCCAGCATTATTTATACGCCACTGCTTTGCTCCCCTTGTGGGATTTTGTTCTGACAAGGGATATAATTAGCCAGCTTTCTTTGGAAGAGCCCTGACCTGCTGGCCATGAAACCCAGAAGGGGACAGAAGTGTGACGTTAATGATCTCCTGCAGCTAAAAGGCATAAAGCTGACCAGAATGCTTTGGAGGCCTCCTGGGGCTTGAGGCCAGTTGGAGAATGTCAGTAGTGAGAAGCAGCACAGTAAATGGGGAAGGGAGGTCAGAAGCGCCTTCAGGGTGGGTATACTAAGATACCAGTCCCATATTTGCAATGCTTAACTACCGAGAGTAGGCAAGATAGGAAATTAAAATGAACACCTGGCAAGAATCTGCCTAACGCCTGTCATCCAAGAATGGAACAAATGCCTTCCTCCATGGAATACAATGGCTGAATGGGATAAAAGCTAAAAACAGATAGGCAGCCCAAGTTCAATTGCCTCCCCCACACCACCCCAACGCCTTCTCCCCTTATGAATTCCACTTGTCCATTACAGACACCTTATGAGTTCTTTCATTTGTTTTTTTCTAGCTAAATATTAGTCATCAGAGCTATGAGGAGGACAAGCACACACTTCCTGGCTATGAGAAGCTCATCATTCAGCTGTGGCAAGGGACAGAGAGAGGGGAGTTCCTACATGTGGGCCCAGGGCAGGAGCTCACTCAAAGCTTGAAGAGCGAATGAGTGAGCCAAGGAACCAGCCAAGGAACACACGCTTTTCAGGCCACAACAGACATTAACAAAATTATCTTATCCGATCTCAGCCTCTATTTAATCAGAAAGGGTTAAGTACCAAGTACTCTTATACCTTTATCTCAATCTCACAGAAACTAAAGTTGCCCATTCTTTGTCCCAACTACCTCAGGTCAGTTTGCTTCCTCTAAGCACTTTCAGCACATTAATCCTACCAGAATTTACTCCATGTTTGCTGTCTGCCAGGCACCACGAAGGGTCAGAGAATCTGGGGATAAGACTGATTTCCCACCCATGGTGGAGCTTACGACTCAGTTAAACGCAGCAGAGATTGAATAAATAAATACAAACAAGGGTGTAATTGTAGATTACGAAGACTATTATAAGGAAAAGGACAAAGAGTCTGAGTTGACCTAATTGAGATGACAATGAGGTGGGTAGGCAACAGTGATCAGCTCAAAAAGAAGTACCCTAAAGAAAGAGAAGAAACTTACTTAGTAAAAGAAGGGTTTGGGGCAGAGCATACCAGGGAGAGGGAACCACATGTGTAAAGGCCCTGAGGCAGAAAATAACTTGGCTTTGGAAAATTCACTTCACAAATATTTATTCGGTGCCACTACATGCCAGGAAAGCTGATTCGCACTAGGAATACTGCAATGAGTAAGTATAAATCATTAACCTCATGGAGCTTACATTCAAGTACATTTTAACATATTCTAATATGCTCTAAGAAGTACTGAAAATTTAGCACATGCCACATCCTGGGTTACTGCATTATTTATTCTTTTAATGTTCCTATACTTATTTCCCCCCAATCAAATTGTAATGGTGCTAATACTAGTAACATTAACAACTACAATTTATTAAGTACTTAACTATGTCCCAGGCACTAAGCTAAAGTGCTTGATATGTATCATTAAATTTAATCCTTATCAAAAACCTATGAGGAAATTACAGTTAATAGTCTCAATTTCACATGACAAAACCGAGGCACAGAGTGAAAAGAAAATTTCCCAAGATCACACGGTGAGGAAGTAGAGATGCAGGGATTTCAGGGAGTCTAACTGCAGAGCCCACATTGTAACCACCATGCCACACTGCCCTCCCTGAGGATAAGTCCAGGTATATGATACATTTGTGCATACTCAGTAGCACCTAATATCTATACCCAGCAGATTCTCCTTCCATACAGGCAGGCTCTCCAACCCCAGTTCTAGAGCAGCTCTAGCCTAGTCTCTGGGTGGGACCCATACAACTCCCATTCCATCAGTGGCAGGGAGAGCGCACACGCCCCTGGCCTGGGAATGTGGCTTGACTTTCTCTCTCTGGAAAGAACAATCATCCAGCCATCACATCTCCCTAGCTAGGTCCAGGGTGGTCACCTTCCCAGCTCTACTCTGAATCCTTCATGAGCTATGTGCCAGACTATAAGGTGGCACCCCTTAGGATTGAAAATGAGGAAGTCGCAGCCTGTCTGTTCCCAGAGCTCACAACAGCGGGGCCAGCCAGCAGGACATCCACATGGGGATGTACGAAGAGTTCTACCCTGCCTTCCCCTCCATGCCTCTGCCAGTTGTTCCCATCTCAATGGTACCTGCTTTCTGAAGGATTTTCTTCTGCCTGTTCTTGGAAGTCTGTATAGTCATTGGAAGGTGAGGAAAGAAGCCACGCACAAGGGACTTCAGAAGGGAGGCCGATCTTCTGAAAGCAAGAGGTGAGGCCTGAGGAGCATGATGTGGGGGAAGAGTGTGGGCTTTGGGTCTGACAGATCTGGGTTCAAGTGCTGGGTGCTGCCACTCATTTGCTGTGCATGACCTTGGAGGACATTGCCTCACTTATCTGAACTTATTACCTCATGTATAAAACACGGATGATAATAAATACGTCTCTTACAGCATTGATGGTGGACTCAATGAACTCAGTGTAGGAGGACTCAATAAACAGTGGTTCTTTTCATTACCAACTTTCCTGCCTCTGAAAATCCCCAGCACTCCGTTGTCTATCTTTATCATTTATCCCGCTTTTGTCTAGAATTAGGGAGAACAGGTACTTGTCTCTTCTGCTACTGGGCCACAGGCCTTTGGAAGGCAGGGATATTCCCTCCCTGTGCCGTATCCCCTGCAGATCTAGATGCTGAGCTGGCTCAAGTTTGAGCCTCAGTGACCATAGAGATAATTATCAGCATCAACATCATCGCCTGTCAGTCATCCCCTGCCAGGCACTGTGTCCCTCCACATACATCCTGAACTCATCTTATCCTCTCAGGCTCTGTTATTATCCACATTTTACACATCAGGAAAATACAGGGCTGAAGAGGAAAAGTAACTTACCCAGCAGGTGAGCAGAAGGGGGCACCTCTCCTCACCCCCAGCCAAACCCCATCCCTACATCCATGCCAATATCTAGAGAGCTCTAGGGTCATTCAAGACCACACAAGACAGGAATCTTTGCCACATAATTCAGAATTTTATTTCCCTGAGTAGCAAAAAATAAACTGACATCGAATTATCTTTTTCCTCCCCATATGTTATTAAAGATTTCACAGGCATTGAAAATGAGAGAAAATCTTGATGTGTGCATCTTTGCTCCTCAGCACCTGGGACGGTGACTTCCACAGAACTGAGAGAAAATACTGAATGCACAGATGAATATGTGAGGGAGTCGCCTGTGTTTGTTAAAACCCTTTGCCACCAACATCTGTCCTCAAAATAAAATACTGCAAAATAAGATGAGTTGCTTTGAGACTACAAATAAAATATATTAAGAACATAGTCGACCTTTAGTTACTGACATGAATGGAGTCTGGAGGCAGAGGAACAGCAACCCAGGTGGCAGGGGCTGCGAAGGGAGGAAGGGAAGGAGAGGAGGGGGGAAGGGAGGGAGAGATAAGAGAAATGGAGGGAAGGAGGAAGGAAAGAAAGTAACTTCTGAGCAACCATCCAGTCTCAGGCACCTAGAGAAGCATGTGCTGATAAAGCATTTCCCTGTTATTTTCACACTCACCCTCGGAGATGCAGCTAATTAGCGTCATGTTATGGATGAGGAGGCAGAGGCTTGGAGAGAGTGATTAGTTCATCCAAGGATGTCAAAGAGTGAGAAGACAACTCAAGATCATCTGGCTTCCAAGTCTGCACCTACTCCCCGACACTGCAATCGGCTTGGCCAACCGGACTCACCAGCTCTCCTGGAGGAGTTGCTCAAGAGGCTCTTGGGCCTGAAGCAGGGAATTCTCTGCCTGGCCCCGAGGAAACAGTGGGCACAGGAGCTGATGCTGGACAGCTGGGCACCTGGGCACCTGTGCTCTGTGGGGGGCATTCTCCATTGCTCCTCAGTGTCCCCAGTGATAGAGAAGTCCCTCATAGACAAAGGGAATCTCCATTCCCAATGATCCGTCTCCTCTTCTTTCAATCAGCTACATGAGGCTGTTTCTTAGGTTTTCCAGACAATAACTTCCCTGTTCCTGGGATGCTTTAGTTATTTCTCAGAGGCTTTTCAAACAGCAAAAACCTAGGCAGGCAACCTGTCCTCAATTTGCTTTCCGGATGGACACACTGAGCCACTTCTCCCTGCCTCCCCATGTCTTGCCTGGCAGACTGTGTGCTGCCCCCCTGTTCCAGGGTAAACCAATATGTGACAGGAACCCAAATGAGGCAGAGCACAGAAGGCGCAGCTCTTGGGAAGGGTGCAACACACATCTTCCCATTGCCTGATGCTGCTCAGACAGGAGTAATGGCCCTTAGCATTCCTCAGTGTGATATGAGGGAGGAGAGTGGGAGCCTGTGAATTATGCTGATTCAAATATTTTGAGATGCTCCCTGGACAGGAACAAAGGGAATGTCACTAAAAATCCATTTAAAGAAACCATTGCATTAGAAATCTTAGTAACTATTGGTGTAATCTGCATTTAGTTTACTCTAAGACCTACTTTTTTTAAGTTTTCATTGCAATATTTTAAACTCAGGTAGTTTTATAGGAAAAACAAACCTACCCAATGAATAGTAAACCATTTACATCCCTTAAAATAACTTCTGATCTTGATCAAAAGGCATGTTTGTGCAGAATCCTGCAACCTTTTCTGATGTGACATTTACAAGATGAAAGCAAAGAGCTGGTCTAAAGAGCTGAGGCCTTGGCATTAGCCAAATTCAACTGTATCAGCTAGGAAATCATGTACAAATCTGAGGTGTTTATCAGTGTGGAACCAGAGATTTCAACTCCAGCTTTGCAGGAAGGGAACAAAGACAAGGACAGTCTTCCAATACAGTGTTTTACTGGCTCCACCTGCATCTCAGGAGCAAGCCTCTCCTACCTTGTAAGTCAAAAAGGGAACCTCACAGATCTCTCTCTCTCTCTAATAAATAGCCTGCCTCCTGAATACATAGATGCAGGTGAGCAATTCCTTGGTTCCCTCCTTAGTATCTAAGGACAGCCTGGTTGTTTTTATCTTGAATATACAATGAGCCTCAGGAAAAAAAAATTAGTGTTCACAAGAAAAGGAAAACTGGTGTCTATTGTAAACAACCGGCGTACGGTGGTAGGTGGCAGGAACATAGCCTGGCTGGGCACTTCTGACTTGCGTCTAATCACTGATCAAACAGTGATCAGTTTGGGAAGCGTGGCTTAGGTTTTGTTTGTTTACTTTTTGTACAGTAAAGTGCACAAATCTTAAATACATAGCTTGAATACATTTTAGAAAATTAACATCCTTACATAACCACTGCTTAGATTAAGATACAGAGCGTTACTCATGACCCCCTTTCTAGTCATATGGGGAGTTTTTGTTTCTTAAAACCACCACCATGACCCACCATCACTAGGTTGGGTTTCTGAACAATAATCAGAAAGTCTGGCTCAAAAGAAGAATGCAAGAAGTAACTGGGAATCCCAGGGGCAACACCGAATGTATTTCATCAGGTGGTAAACGTTTCCATTTCTGTGGGACAGAATTACTCCCACACTCTGATACATCCTTTTTTTTAGCCCTATTGTCAAAGAGACACTTTTAAAAGAAAATCGATTTCCAAATCAGCTCCTATCTGTACAAAGTAAGGCACAGTTGAGAAAGGAAGAGGCTATGAAAGGGAGTGAAAGATGGGGCAGTGCTAGTTTTGCCCCCCGCAAGGTTGCTCTGAGACTTTGTCCCAAACAGATTTTCCCAAGGGTTTGCCAAAGACAGGGGAGGGGTACCTACAAGTGGGAGGGATCAATCATGAAAAAAATTCCAGCCTACTATGCCACTGCCACCACAGCTGGCCAGTCCTCTTGCTGGTCAGTCCCAAACTGGGGACCAGCTGTGAGGATGGCACTTTAGTTTTCCACTGGTAAAATGGGCCTTTCACAACCATCCCTTGCCAATCATGAAGGAATGGTCTGAGGGTCAGTGAACACGTCCACACGAAACTATACCACATTTGAAATGTGAAATCTGAAGGCTTAAAGTAGGAATGGAAAACTCCAGTGCCTTGGGGTCAGGCAGGTAATTTAAGGATTACAGCTGGCGAGCAGGTAGCAGCTGTGCACACTGGAGCAGGAGTGGCAGGTCTAAGGGGGTTGGATACTGGGACATCTGTTGATTGCCACCACATGGAGAATGTAGGTTCAAGGAAGCAATATCGTTGTTTTTCTCAAGAGCAACCAGAAAGACATTTTCATGTGAAATAATGTAATTCTAAAAATTTGACAGGGAATCTGGTTTAAAAGAAGGGTAATACTGTGGGCCAAATAAAACACGTCAGCAGGGGAATATAACCCAGAGACTGAGAGTTCTCAACCACAGGTCAGGATATCCTGGCCTTCCGGTCCGGGGTTCTCAATCTTCATTTCCACCCTATCCTCCTAGAGGGATGAGACATGTGCCCCCAGATAGCAGTGGCTCGCTGCGGCAAAGAAGAGACATACGCTCCGGGCCGAAAACTGCTAAAGTCCAACATCCTTTTCTGTTGTTTTTAAACAAATGATGAGACCAAGGTCCAGGGAGGAAGAGTGATTTCACAAGCCCACACAGTGAGGGTGGTGAGGCCTCCCTGCTCCCGTGTCCACCACCCCTTGCCTGACCCCTCCCTTGTGGACAGAGGTCAGGGTCAGGAGGTGAGAGCAGAGGCAGCAGGAGGCTGGGCCTCATCTCATCAACTTGGAGATTCTACTTGCCCCAAATGGCCCTCTTATCCCACAAGCCCAAGGTTCCCTGCTGCCAGGGGCTGCTGGAGGAGCCTGGGAGGGCTTGTGTTCCTCACCTGCACATCCAGGTTTTTTCGAGAGGAGGCAGGTGTGTTGGCATAAGAGCTGATGGAGGAGCTGGTGTTGATGTCATCAGTGCTGAGGTTGTCTATGGTGTCGCTGATGCCACTGCTGACGGAGCTGCTGTCGTCCCAGCTGCCAAGACAAACACACATCCTGAGCACCAAAATCTCAGGCTGTTCCAGTTCAGGCTGATGACAGACAAACACACACTATCCCCAAAAAGATCCAATCTTTGCCACGAAGCCCCGGACAAAGCTCTTTTGCCTCAGATGTGACTCATCTCCATGTCAGTTGTTGCTGTCTGGGATTGGAAGCTGCGTGAAGAGGCTGACAGGTACCTTCCGCAAACTAAGTGCTTCCATAGCAGGGGTGGCTACAGACACTACCCATGTCCTACCCCATCCTCAACTTCATCCTGGGAACTTGATGGAAACCAATTTGTTCCTTCCCAGGCCTAGTGGCAGAGTAGGGGCAGTGAGTCTGGAGACTAGAGCTAAAAGCATGCAGGGAAGAACTCCGGAGCAGGCACCTGTCGGGGTCAGAGGGCAGAGCTGCTGTATGACTTCTGCAGACTTCACTCCTGGAATGAAACGCCGAGGGAGGGAGAGCAGCAACAGTCAGGAGAAACCTGTCAACTTGGTTAGCAGCTCTAACTCTAATAATATCCCCAAAGACATCTAAAATAGATGTTCTTCATTTCCCAACCCTCCAACCGAATGAGGTCAGTCCCAAGCTGCCTAAGTCCAAACTCCTAGCAATGGTTCTTTCTTTCTTTTTTCTTCTTTACCATCTTCCCACCTGCCAATACCACCACCACGTTTAATCTAGCACCCGGTCCTATCACCTTGCTTCCAAAACGTATCTAAACGTGCAGTTCTCTGCCCCCACTGCCACCCTGTAGTTCATGGTGCTGTCGACGGTGCCTGGGTTACTGCTAAAAGGCCAGGTGGTCTCTATGATCTGCTTCTGCTCCCTAATTGTCCATCCCCCCCCGCAGCAGTCAGAATATCCTGTCGCTCTACTGCTTAATACCCTTGAGTTGCTTCTCAGATAATTAAGAGTCCAAACTCTCTATATGGCCCCTCAAGACCCCTGAGCTTGCCTCCTACCCTAGTCCTGTTTCGTACCCCTCTCCACTGCGACTGGCTCTGATCACATGCACTTCTGTTCCTTTCAAGCCACGGCTGCTCTCTTCGAGGCTTCGTGCTGCTTGTCCCTCTTTCTGAACGCTTGTCCCTGCCTCCTCTCATCTTTCAGATCTCAGCTGAAGTATTACCTTCTCAGAAAAACAACCTCACTACCCATCAAGCCTGTCACACTCTGTCACATCACCCTGTGGTATTTACTCATTTGTTTGCTATGGGGTAGCAGATATGTAGCAAGTGGTCAATAAATACTTGCTAATCGAGGGCTGGGCATGGTGGCTCACACCTGTAATCCCAGCACTTTGGGAGGCCAAGATGGGTGGATCACCTAAGGTCAGGAGTTCGAGACCAGCCTGGCCAACATGGGGAAACACCATCTCTACTAAAAGTACAACAAAATTAGCCAGGTATGGTGGCACATGCCTATAATCCCAGCTACTTGGGAAGCTGAGGCAGGATGATTGCTTGAACCTGGAAGGCAGAGATTGCAGTGAGCTGAGATTGCACCACTGCACTCCAGCCTGGGCAACAGAGTAAGACTCTGTCTCAAAACAACAACAACAATAACAACAACAAAAAAAACTTGCTGATCGAAACTCATAGAAGTGAGAAGTCGAGGCCGGGCGCGGTGGCTCACACCTGTAATCCCAGCACTTTGGGAGGCCGAGGCGGGCGGATCACAAGGTCAGGAGATCGAGACCATGGTGAAACCTCGTCTCTACTAAAAATACAAAAATAATTAGCTGGGCGCGGTAGTGGGCGCCTGTAGTCTCAGCTACTCAGGAGGCTGAGGCAGGAGAATGGCGTGAACCTGGGAGGCGAAGCTCGCAGTGAGCTGAGATCGCGCCACTGTACTCTAGCCTGGGGGACACAGCGAGACTCCGTCTCAAAAAAAAAAAAAAAAAAAGAAGTGAGAAGTCGAGTAGACAATAAAGCAAGCTTCCAAGATCAGTGTGACACTACTCTAATTGACCTATGGGGGAAAGGGTAAGTATTATTGTTTTTCTATTGCACAGGTAGAGAAAGTGAGGCTTAGAATAAAATAGATACCCTGTACAAGGTCAGAGGGCTAGGAAGAGGCAGAGTGGATCCTGATCCAGCCATTCTGATTCCAGAACCAACTACCCTCTTTACTGTGACTGCAGACGGTTTTGTATTATGTCAATTCTCAGCACACACCAGATGTGACATAGCCCACTTTCTCAGGAGGAAGCCAGGCTTGGGAGGCCAGGCAGCCTGGTTCAAGGCCACTCAGCAGGAGTGGCAGGTCTGATACCAAACCATTGATTTAACCTCATTATTCTAGCACTCCGTCTTCCCCTGTCTTGCTGAAAGCCCTACAAAGTGGCAGTGTGGAACCCGGGAAATGCTGAGTGGCTGAGATTTGAAAGCCAAGAGCACATCTGCCACACACACACATAACCCCAAAGTTCTAGTTCATTCCAGCAGCTTGGAAGATACCTGCCTGTACATCCTGAGCTCTGCTGATCAGGCAGGAAGACAAAGGCTTATTAAAAACCTGTTTTCATCACCTTCTCCTTCAACACTATTTGGTTTCCAAAACCCAATCTGGAACATCGCATAGAAATGCGGGGGAATGTGAGGGTGGTCCCAAGGAGGGAGGATGAGGCAGGGAGAACGAGGGCTCACAAGGGGCTTGCTGTGGATGAATCCACAAGGGTCCAGCAGGTCTGGAACTCTGCATACTTCACTCCTATAATTCTACTTCTTGTGCCCAGCCCTCCATCCTGTTCCAAATTCTTCCTTTAAGGCTTTCTCCAAATACTCCAGCCCACCCACATCATCTCCTACTTTGAATTCCTACATAGTGTCACACATTTGTATTTGCTTCTATACACTCTTAGGCAGTTTTCTAGCTATTCTCTATACCAAGGGTTGTCCTATCTTCCAAATATATGCAGGGGCCTGCTTAGTGATAACAACTAAGTGCTTATCATGGATCAGGCATTGTGCTGGGTACTTTAAATCTATTGTTATAGATTTCTCCAGTCCTCATATCATACCTGCAAGGTAGGTATCATCCTGTCCATTTTATAAATGAAGGAATAGAGACAAAAAGAGTAAGTACACTGACCGATGCCATTCCGTGTTGGAACTGGGTTTAAAAAGCAAAATATCTAATTGCAGAATATGCACTCCTTCTAGTCTTGTTATGCTGCCTTCTGTAGCAACGACGGCTGTTCACTGAGCCTGTGCCACATGCCAAACTATTCAACATTTGCGCATACTCTCATAGTCACTCTTAGGGTGTTTCACAATGAAGAAACTGAGGCCGTGAGGACTGATGGGCAATGCGGCAGCAATGTCAAGTTCATTCGGTGCGCCACGTCCCTTCCATCTCCAGAGACATAGTCCGTGCTCCTTAAATACCTCCTGATGAACTCAACGTGCAGAGGCGAGACAGAGCAAGTTTCTGGTGCAAACTTGCCACCAGTAGAGGATTCTAAGCCCGGCTCCCTGCCCACTGATTCTTTGCAGGGTCACAGCTTCTGTGCCTGCTTTGCCTAGGCTGGTAACCACAGGAGGATCTGATGGGGAAAGTGTGGCATCACAGATGGAAAAGGACTCAAATTTGTTCTAGTGATTAAATGGGTCTTTTCTTGCACCTGCTCTTTGGGGTTAGGAATTTAATGTATCTAAAATTTCTCATAATTTGATGAAGAAGAAAGGGGAATGGTGGGAGAGGACCGTGGTTGGCAGGGAGGAAGGAGAGCAGTTGTAACAGATGCTCGTGAATCCAAGTCCCAGATTTTGTGCTTTGAAATTGTAACCGTTCTTCCCCTGTGTCCTTTCAACACCAAGATAATATTCCAGAGGGGCGTGTGGCCCTTGATACACAGGATTCTTCCCATGTCAGTGCCTGGAGGACTGTTGGGCTTACCCTGAGTTCACAGGAAGCCTTTGTAACTGAGCCACCCAGAAGAGGGGAAGCCAGGGATCTAATCCATGGGTGGGAGTGGGGGTCACTTACGATGCAGATGAAGGGAGTGACGCGAGGGAAGGCCATTATGAGCAAGGGCAGCTTCGATATTTGCCAGAGCTGCCTGTGGCCAGAAACCGAAGCTGCCCCTGCAGCTGGAAAACCAGCCACGTTTCCTTTGCTTTCGGATCTCTGGGATACTAGCAAGTTTATCTTGACATAAAGTCACTTAGTTCTAACTTGTCCTTTTCCCATTCAGGGTACAAACGATCATGAGCTACCAAGATTAGGCCAGTGAGTTTGCAGATGTATTCTGAGGGAAACCAGTTCCACCAGATGCTCTGTGATAAGAATGTTGCCCTAAGAAGGGAATGTGGAATCTCTTGCCTTCTTGGAGATTCACACTGTAAACAGTACCTCAGCATTTTAACAGCTGTGAAGTCCAGTAAAGATCACTATAACTTTGCCTAAAGGAGCATTCCCCAAACTTACGTGACTACACAGGAAACAGGAAACGCTGAGAAGAATGAAGCACACACACACAAAAAGCAAAAATGAAGAAAAATGCAATACAGCCTAGAGCTGCCAGTGGCTACTTGATTCTCACTTGCCTGAGAAGGAAGCTGGCACAGAGGGAAGCAGAGCTGAGAGGGATGGAAGTGTGCCTTTGACATTGCTTGAGCGCCCTTATCCAGCCATACTGAAAGCCAGAAGCACCCCTGGGAGAGCCAGCCATGAGAAATAGTAAATTCTTTTCTTTTGCTTTTTGTCACTTGGCATACTCATGCTAACTAATGGGGAAGTGTAATTTGTTTGTAAAATAACTCCAGACATGTGGCTGAGAGTCAGACGGGAAAAATGTGGAAAGCATGTAGAATTCACTCAGGCAGTAAGGACACTGGTTGAATCTAATCAAGTGGCAAAGGAAATTAGGTACAACCTGGGATGAGGCACAAAAGTCCACTGACCCAAATCGGGCAATAAATGTTGAAAGCAGTTACAAAAACTGATTAAGATAGCAACTTGAAAGGAACCTAGAGAATTTA